GATAAAATAAGATTCCAATGGAGCGCACAACAATAGCTTAACAAGTAGATAAAATGGGATTCTAATGGAGTGCACAACAATAGTCTAACAATTAGATAAAATAGGATTCTAGAGGGGCGTACAACAATAGCTTAAGAATTGGTTAAAATTGGATTCGTATGGTGCTCACAGCCATAGCTTAACAATTAGATAAAATAGGATGTTAATGGGGCGCGCAACAGTGATCTAATTATTTGGTAAAATAGGATTCTAATGGTGCGCACAACAATAACTTAACAATTACAGAAAATAGGATTATAATGACGCGCGCAACAATAGCTTAATGATTGGATAAAATAGAATTCTAAACGAGTGAACAATAATAGCTTAACAATTGGATAAAATATGATTTTAATGGGGCACACAGCAATAGCTTAATTCGATAAAATGGGATACTAATGAAGCGCGCAACAATAGTTTAACAATTAGATAAAATAGAATTCCAATGGTGCGCACAACAATAGCTCAACAATTAGATGAAATAGGATTCTAATGGTGCACAGAATAATAGCTTAACAATTAGATAAAATAGGTTCCAAATGGGGTGCACAACAGTGAACAAGTAATTAGATAAAATAGCAATGTTAAGGAGCGCGCAACAATTGCTTTACCATTAAATAAATAGGATTCAAATGGGTCGTTCAACAATAGCTTAACAATTAGATAAAATAGGACTCTAACGGGGTGCACAACCCTAGCTTGACAATTAGATAAAATAGGATCTTAATGGGGCGCGTAAGAGTAACCTAATTATTAGGTAAAATAGGATTCCAATGGGGCGTACAACAATGGCTTAACAATTAGATAAAATAGGATTCTAATGGCGCGCGCAACAATAGCTTAATGCTTCGATAAAATATAACTCTAATGGAGTGCACAATAATAGCTTAACAATTAGATAAAATGGGAGTCTAATGGGGCGTACAGCAATAGCTTAGCAATTAGATAAAATAGGATTCTGATGGGTTGCGCAACAATAGCCTAATGATTAGATAAAATTGAATTCTAATGGAGCGCGCAACAATAGCTTAACAGTTAGATAAAATAGGATTGTAATGGAGCGCGCAACAATAACCTAACAATTAAATGAGACAGCATTCTATTGGACCACGGAACAGCAACCTAACCTCAGAATGTAAAAAGATCCTAATGGAAAGTGCAGCACCAACCTCGCAATCAAATGAAATAAGTAATTCATGGAGTCCGCAACACTAACCAAGCTATCAAATGAAAAATGATTTTAATGGAGAGCGTAATACTAAGCTACTAATCAAATGATATAGGATTCTGATGAATTACTTTAAAGTAACCTTCCGATCAAATACAGTATGATACTTATAGAATCTGCAACACTAACCTTACTATTAAATGAAACGATTAATGAAGCGCCAGGCAATAATCTAATATTCGAATACAAAAGGATTCTGATATGAGTGCAACACTAACCTAACAAACAAATTAGTAAGGATTGGACGGCCCAGTTGTAACACAAAAATCAGAGGAAATTAACATTGAAGTGGAGTGCGTAATACTTACCTAACAATCAAATGAAAGAGGATTCTAATGGAGCACGTAACACTAACCCAAACGATGAGACATATTAGAAGTCTGATGGAGCGCACAATACTAACCTAACAATCAAATGAAAGGGGATTCTAAAGGCCTATTTACACGGTACGACTTTGTCGCATGCGACAAGCTTACGACAGGCCTACGACATGACTTAGGACAATTTACACGCGCACGACATTTTCACCTACGACATGCCAAAATCGCGTGCAATTCCACTCGTTTCGGCCGCGGTCATTGTTTCAATAATTTGCAAGAGAAGGAAAAGAACCTCTTCCTCGCTCCACAGTGATATCATATTCTCTATTTACTCATCTGAGAATGTATTTTTCGCTTTGGAAGCAGTCTTCGACTTTCCAGAGGCGACTTCCTCCGCCATTTTGACGCAAGAAAATTTCACCTTCCTTCCCTACTCAGTAGAAATTTGTCACAAAATACGTCATTTTCTATCAATTTCGGCTACGATTGTCGCAGCGTTTTAAAACATGTTTTAAAATCCTACGACATTTTTCGTGACGTGCACGACAGTCGTAAGCGAGTGGTAGGTTTGATTTACACGATACAATTCGCGTCGTAGGCCTGTCGTAAGCTTGTCGCATGCGACAAAGTCGTACCGTGTAAATAGGCCTTAATGGGGCACGTAACACTAGCCAAACAATGAGACGAAGTAGAATTCTGATGGAGCGCACAACACTAACCTAACAATCAAATAAAAGAGGATTCTTATGGAGCACGCAACACTAACTTTACAATATAATGAAATTGGATTCCTATGAAGCACGCAACGCTTCGAAGAAAATTCTGATGGAGTACACAACACCAATCTAACAATCAAATGAAAGGAGATTCTAGTTTAGTGAGCAGCACTTGCCCAACATGAAAAAAATAGGATGTTATCAGAGCGAGCAACACTAACCAAACAATCAAAATGACATAGGATTATGGAGCACAACGCTTACCTAACAATCAAATAAAATAGGATTCGAAAAGAGCGCGAAACACTTGTTAAAAAATCGAATAAAATAGAAAATAGCGCGCAACACTTACCAAACAATCAAATGAAGGAGATTTTTTAGTTAAGTAAGTAACACTTGCCTAACAATAAAATAAAATAAATTTCTAGAGGAGCTCGTAACTCAACAATCAAATGAAATAGGATATTTATGGAGAGCACAACACTTTCCTTACAATAAAAAGAAATAAGGTACTAATGGAGTGCACAACACTAACCTGAAAACCAAATGAAATAGTATTCAAGTGGAGTGAGCAACACTTACCTAACAATCGAATAGAAGAGGATTCTAGAAGCTTACGAAACACTAAACTCACGATCAAACAAAGACGGATTCTCATTGAAGTGTGCAACACTGACCTAAAAGTCAGATTCTAATGGAGTACGTAATACTACCCTCCAATGACATAAAATATGATTCTGATGGAGTGGGCAACACTACCCTAACAACCGCATGAAATATGTTTGTGATGGAGCGTGCAACACTAACATAACAATCAAATAAAAGGGTTCTTATAGAGTGTGCAACACTAACCTACAATCTAATAAGAGAGGATTCTAACTTAGTGTGAAATACTAGCCTAATAATAAATTGAAAAGGATTTTAATGGTACGCGCATCACTAACATAACAAGTAAACAAACTTGAGTGATAAGTCAAACACAATTGCATACATACGTGGGACAGTAACTTAGAAATCGACTTAAACGTGATGTTAAAGTGCGTCAGGGGGAAACTTAGTCCACAATGAGCAGTTAGAAGAAATTGTAAAGGTGCCTGAATACTAACGGAACAATCAAATGAAAGAGTGCCTTGTCTCGGTGCCCAGATATCGATTTGATAGTCGTATGCGTTAGCCCTTTGTCAGAGCGAATGCACGATGCACTTGAGATGCGCTAGATGCAAACGTGACTATCGACCGAGAGAGAGAGTCATTTGTGGAGAAGATGATTTAGAAACAATCTGATAAAGGAGAAAACTAAAGGCGTGTTTTCCTTGACCCTTATTGATACTATGTTGGTTACTGGAGAAAATTGTTTTTACTCTTTTGTCTCTTATTGAGCCACGTTTTGCTTTTTCTTACGGATCGCAGCAGCAATTTTGTATAAGTTCCAGCTTTGTGTATCATTCGTTTAGGTTCTCCTTCATTCATCTTGCTTTTAAGTTAGCGAAACGACGCTGCATGGCCAGAACTAATATCGTTCTTTTTGAACCAATAAAAGATCCTATGACATACTCATCTAATTAATGTTGACTGGATCACCAAAGCTTCTTCCACGTGGTTATCATGAGTTGTCTGTTAATTTTCAAACTGATCAGGAGGTGACCCATGTTAAAAAGAAACACAGCTTTGTTTGATCAGCTTGAACGGTTAAGTGACTGTTTGTTAGTCACACCATTAACCTGGTAAATAACACGCTTAGTAAACATTCACGGGAATTTGCAGCTTATGTATCAACGGTAAAATGTTACTGCTGTTTCACTTTGCGATTGGCATTAAAAGTTTTAGATCTCGGAGGTAGTGAGTAAAAGGAGTTTTCACGCGCTAAATGCTCGGAAAGATTCTCAGAACTAATACGATGCAATGGAATGCTAGAACAGTTTTGCGAAAAAAAAAACAAAAGCAAACTAAGATTTCATTTCCAAGCTCACTTTAAACATCGCTTTTTTCCAAAAAAAGTGTTTCTTCTTGTTTTCTAGTATTCCAGAGGTTGATCAACCTTTTAAAACGACTGAAAAAATTGACCTTTTCGTCGTTTTTTCCCAGCCTTCTGGAAATCAAAATGAAAACATTACCATCACATTTAAAACTGATACTTTTTCTTTTTTATATAGCGTTATTTTATGGATCAGTGGGATGGTAAATTATATCTGACTTCGTTAATGCTGTTTGCCTTGTTGTAAACGTCGTGCTAAATTTCATGCGCGATTGTTTACTTCATCAATCAAGAGATTTAATACTAAGACAAAAGACTGGATATTTTTCAAACGTGGCAACTGCCATGAAGAACTTGTGCATGCTATGTAAAATCTGATAGGATAAACAAAAAACAAAACAAACAAAATAAGTTATATAGAATTAAACTAACTTCATTCAAGGTGTGACGCAATTTCCCACTTAAAATTTTGTTTAAATTCAACTTTATTTAGGCCAAAAAAATAGATCAATAGATAAGAGAGATTTTTTTAAATCATGTAAGCGAGAGGGTGTGTATTGCACTAACGTAACAAACAGAGAGTATTTACTGTCGTTGACAAAAAAATTAGGTTAGCGTAATTGAGATTATTTACAAAGTTACGGATCGTGATACACGTCCATACGCATTGATGTGTCAAAGATACGTCAGAGCGTAAGCTTATCTTAACGAGAAAAAAGGTATAACAGTTGTAATTCGTGACCATTTCAACTTCTACCTGCCTTGAAGAAGGGCCTCAAGGATTTTTCATCTCCGAGGACAATACCGTGCGCATAACCCACTGAATATTGGAGATCTAAGGGAAGATGAGGGGTGAGAACAATTTTTGTTTCTTTTTTTTATCTTTTTACCAGTATCTCTTGTTTTTGCTGTTTGTTACAAACAAGGTTTAAACTAGGTTGTTTTGTTTCAAGCGAGCAAAATGATAAAAATGTATTACTGGTAATATTGAAAAAAATGTTATGTTTTTCCCCTTTTTTCCTTAAAATCAAATGAACGCAAAAAGTTCTATCGATGATTGAAAACAAATGTTTAATGTAAAGGTAAAAAAATCAGGCTGTTCATTTTCAAATTTTTGTGCTGTAAGTTTTATCGATTGGATCTTGTTAAAGCAAGGCAATGGGTCTCGTTTTGAGCTTCATGAAATATTTTTTGAGCTTTGTTAAATGCTTAATCTGTTTTAATGTTCGCCATTCTTGGTCATCTTTTTTTCTCACTTGATTCGCAATTTGCTCTTTTGCGTTTCTCGTTCTTACCAGACCAATATTCTCAGGCCATTTCCAACGTGTTCAGTCTTTTGATGCAAAACAGTTTCTCACCAAAAACGAAAAAAAAGGAAAAGAAAAACGGTGCCATGACTTCCGTGAGTTTTGATTTACCGAAAATAAACTCAGTTCAAACTCTTTGCCTCTCAAGTTACAGCCCTAACCGAATTTATCATACATATATGACCTTACCGAAAGAATTGGGAAGCTGGTTTAGACAACGTGATTGAATTCAGAGACTTTCTCCTAAACCTTGCTTCAGTGCACTCTAATTTAAATCTATAAAGATCTACCTACATTCTCCATACCGTGCCAAGCCTTAAGATTTTTCCCCTTTTTTTTGGTGGAAATTGCAGTAAATCCAGTAAGAAACAAAGTAGGAACAAAGGAACACTTAGGGGAATCTAAACTAAGGGGGCCAGTTTTTCCCATCGTGGTATAGGAGTTTTTAGCTGAAAAGTCAAAATGACCTTGATTCTTGTGATTATGTTTTAATTCAACTTTTACGTATTCGATTCTTTCTTTTCAACACACGATGAAGTGAATGTCGTTTTTGACTTGTTTATCCTAGCAGGTGTGTCAACAAAGACAGGTGTACTGAATTACGTTTGATGGCAGGTTTTTTGCGAAAATTTGATGTTTTTTCTAGATTTCAAGTGGTGTGTCATTTAATAATTTCTGAGATTTCTTGTACGAACTCCTCTGTGACCTTCTACTTGGATTATAGTTCTGTAAAACATTCAAACAGTAATTCTAATTGGAACTCGTTTTGTCGATTTTAACTAGGCTTCTCATGGTACGTCTTGAAAACAATCTTTTCTTTTGCCAGAAAGTTAAAATTTACTAACGAAATGCGAAGCACTTTCTATTCCTGCTGGGCCTAACACATTAGTTTAGGAATTCCCTCGAGGCATTTTGCAGTGAATTGTAAATTGTTGCCATGTGGCACGAAGATTTGCTGGAGTTATATTACCCAGAATAGCGAGCTTTTATGCGTTCTGGGAAGAAATTGTTTTCAAATTTGACGTAAAAAAACCGAACATTGACCAGAAACTTAGCATAAAATTGCAAATTTTGTTACCTGTTGAGTTTCACAGAGACATCAATCCAAGAATTCGAAGAAGGACATTTCAAATGAGTCCGACTGCAAAGAATACGAGATGACTTGCACGCAGAATTTACGTTTGAATGACAAAAATAAAACCTTGCGGCGTTTTCTTTTGTCGGACATTTTTTTCGCAAAGATCAGGATAAAACCCGCAAAATTGTCACACATCAAAGTATACTCCGGAAAGAAACTATTGCTCCACTAGACAGCCTAGCTGCATTTGTGAATTTGACATCTGCCATAAAACAACGTAACTCCTTCGATATTAATGAAAATAAATGAATAAGAAAATTGGTATCATTTGAATTAAGGAAAAGATCGCAGGCCCTGCACAAGCTGTGCTGGAATTATGTTTAACTTGGCAACTTGTTTCACTCTTTTTTAAATTTACGAATAACCACAATATCACATTTTTTTCTAGGATCTAACATGTTCGGAAAGTTTGTTCCTCTTTTGTTCCTCCTCGCTTCAACACAAGGTAAACAGAAGAGAAGGACAACCGTGATTATCATTTTACTGCTCACCAAGGATTTCCAAATGCTGCCATCTGTAGTTTCGTTTCGTAGTACTTTATTTAGAGGGCCTCTATGAGGTGATGGCTTTTACGGCTTACGGTAACAATTTTGGCCAATATACGGCCAACTATTGATACCTTTCTCTTATGGTTACTAGAAATCCTTTAACGGTTAATTTTGTTTCGTCGTTTTACGGCTAACGGTTTCAAAACCCCATTGAGACTTTCCTATTACAACATGCTACCATATCAGGGCTACAGGACGTACAAACAAAGCGATGGTATCACAATGTAGAATACGGCAGGAATGCAGGCGGAAAGTGGAATAACACTGAAATGTCCGCACTTAACGATCCAAAATTAAACTCCTTTACGTCTTAACGGCTTGAATAATTAAGCGACGAACTTAATGTGGCACAGATTTCTTAATTATTTATTTAATTTTTTATAAAGAACACTCCAAAGGTTTCGTTTTTGTTGTTGTGGTATTTCGTGCGCGCCCTCTACGGATCGATACGACACTCAGATAATGCTGAAGGATGCGTTTCGAGAACTAAGCAATGAAATAATATTGGAATGATAAGGTGGACGTATTCCTCAAATATCAACACAATATACCAACCATGACTTTAATAGCCTAATTTTTTTCCTTAGGGACCCCTCATTATTCATCTCTTGGAGCGATTGCAGGGTTTTGGTTGTGTCACGAGAAAAATGTACCTGATTCCCCCCCTGAGGCTCTGTGATATTCTTACGTCCCCCTCCTCCCTATTAGCAGTTATTTGCAAGTCGGTTTTTTACAGTCTCCCCCCCCCCCCCCCCCCCCCCCCCCCTCCTTCTAATCTGTTGGTGAAGACTAATCCCCATTCTTTTTCCACTGAAAACCATGTTTTCTATAGCCCCCCCCCCCCTTTCTACTCGGTTGGTGAAGACTAATCTCCCCCCCCCCATCCCCCCCTTCTCGCGGTATTTATTGACTGTTCCCTTAACGCTAAAATCACATTTTTTTCAACAGGAGCTTCGATTAAACCTCCAGGATCAGGAGGTAAACGTGTAAACATAGTTGAGCCTAAATAAACTAGAGACTGTTCGGGATCGATCAGAGCCTCTGCTCTGGATGATCAAATCTTATTTGGCTTCATACATTAAACTACATTGTTCTCTACATTTAATGGAGAAGTTGTATTGCAATTTCCCCCCAAAATTTCTCCTTTTAAAAGTTTGATCCTGGGTAGATTCAGCAAGACAGTGAAGATACATGATCGACTGTTACTTCTGTGTGCAAACCAGTTTTAGCTCATTAAAAAACGAAAAATTTTATGCTATGTTACAAATGTAATGCAACCGGTTTTTGTTTTTCTTAGAAACGAACTATACCATTATTTTCCATTCAGTGTAGTGGCTCTCATAGACGTGTACGTATTCCTGAAAAAAAATCACCGAAATAAACGACCATGACTTTAAAAGCATCTTCTTTCCTTATCACTTTGATCGCATTTCTTTCCAACAGAAGCTTCTACAGCATCAGCTTTTCCACGATCAGGATGTACAAAACAATTCTTTAGCTTCTCACATCTAATTCCATTGTTAAATGCTTTCAACAAAGACTTGGAAGTTGAAACCCTGCGTATTACCTACAAAAAAAATCTGTCGTCTCGAAGCTTCATCCTAGGTAGATTCCACGCGACGATAACACTACATAATCGACTGTTACTTCTGAGTGCAAACCTAGCGAATTTCATTTATATTATTTCTTATCATTCACGGACTACACGTCGGTTTGTTTGTTTGTTTTTTTCCCTAAACCCTCAATTTGGCGATTACTATGTGTATACCATGTCACTTAAAAAACAGATCATTTATTAGATTACACGACTTTTAATTGTTTGAGTATTTTTGTTGGAACCTCTCAAGAAAATAATTTGCCTATTGCTGTGCCTTTTGGAGGAATAGGGAAAGGAGATGTGTGAAAGCCCCACCCCACCCATAAAAGAATTAACACACGCATGCGTAGCATACCTATGTACTCTTGTAGGTCTTGGGAAAAACTGCTACATGTCACGACAACCTAAATGTGCATTGGAGCGCGAATGGATCGGCTGTTACAAAGACAATGGCTATCAACGGGCGTTTCCAGAACTTCTTCTTACCGCAAGAGATAATACGTCTGCAGTTTATTTCGGAGAGAACATAAATTGGAAAGATTGGGAAAACTTCATCGACAGGTTAGATCTTATTGTGAATATTAGCCAGAGCTTATCTAATGTCGCTGTGTGTAGCCATACAATCCACTGAAAAGGGTTGATTCTAACATTGCGCATGTCTGAGTCGAGGAGCCATGATGGTGTATATCTTTATACCCTCATGGAGTTGCTCTCAAGCTTTTCCAACTCTTGCAGCGCTTTTCCATTGAGTGTCGTAAAACCAAATTTAAAGATATCACAGCGGGAAATCCGAAGAAAGGAAAATACCCTACAGAGCCGATGAGAACTCAGAGTAAAAACAACCAAACCGCCTAAAGCGCGGGAAAATGGCTTCAGTTTTGCGTCCAATCGGTTGAGAGAGTGGCGCGGGGTTTTTGGACCAATTACAGAGCAAAGCAAACAAAACTAATAGAATCTCAGATAACTTTCGACGCTGAATTGAAAATTGCTCTATTCTCCATTTTTATTCGATATCTTTCACTGCTATCTTGTCTTCTTTTGTAGGTTTACTTGCGCGTGCGCACAGAAAGCTAAGCAAAAGTACTCCAACTATTTTGGCATTGAGTATTATGGTGAGTGCTGGGGCGGTGTACGCGCTGATTACAGCGTCCACGGAATGTCTGAAGAGTGCAAAAGCATTACAGGACCGGACTGTTCTTTTAGGAATTGCGATGAAGAGTCAAACAAGCCTAAAACTTGCGTCGGAGGACAATGGGCTTTGTACGTCTATAAAATTAAGCTAGGTGAGTGAGTGCCGGGAAAATAGCTGATCGCCTTCACGGGAATTTTGTGTAGGAATCGAACTCTATGATAAGAGGAGACGCAGCGGCTTAGAGATGATCTCGTTGGACGTCGAGTCGACAGGGCGCGATTCGAGCTTTGGATGGATTATTGTACAGAGTTCTTGGGCAATACACCTCTCTCACAGTACCTTTTTCCTCCCAGGATTGTAGATGGGTGCAAGGAATTACCAGGGAGGGGGGGAGGGTAACCACAGCAATACTCTTACGGTATAGCTTAAAAAAAACTTTGTAGGAGTGTTATGGCGAATCCTTTTTCCGTTATGCGGTAACACATGTTCTTGCACTTTGAGACAACTGAAATTTCTGCAAGAAACTTGTGATGTTTGTAACTTTTCACTAGCAACAAACTTTTGCTTCACAAATTAATTTTTGTATTTCTTTCCACAGTACACCCGCCACCACCCCAACAATCGACACCACCAACCCCACCAGCCCCGCAACCGTACCCATAGTGACATAGTTCCCATCTTAACCTACGGCGGCGCTGTCAACTAATCACCATGTTGTTAGAAGTAGAGGAAGACGAGGGCGAGGATATATCTAACGAGTCGTTTCGTCTGTAGTGATTTTGTGTGTTTTGATAACCGGAGCAGATGTAGCATAGAATGAAATAAATCAAGACCGCAATACCAAATTTGTCTCTTTGTTTGTAATAGCTTCTCATGATCTTTAGAAATCCTGCCAAACCTATCTTTTCGCAACCCTCACTAATTTCATTCAAACGTGACAAAGACATAGGCAACTTTTTGGTCAGAAGTTCATTTCAAACCAATGAACAACCTGGAACTTTCACATGCGCTCGCTCGCGATGCAAAAGTTGTCCTTTCATTCATAACGTAGAGAAAACATCGGGATCCAAGAGATCCATTAAGATCACTGATCACTTTACTTTATTCTTGTTTTCTCGTCACCATATTCCCACCTATAGCGTAGCTCCACTTTTCTGCCTATAAACCCACACACAACCCACAATTCCTCCAATCGCTCTGACGAAGGGCTAACGCTCGAAACGTCAGCCTTTTTAATCTATACGGTGGCTAATATACGTTTTCAACTCAGTTGTTAACACTAAATTGCCTACTATACTCTCCCACCGACGCAGCACCACAGTTTCTTTAGAAACTTACCCCCTTTATTCAAAAGAAGTAAGTCTGGTCCGAGTGCCATAAAATAAACCACCTACCAGCCTCTCTTGCTCTAGCCGTACTGGAGAATATTGGCCTTCCGTCGTTTTTTTACAGACCTCTCTGCGCTTGGTCCATTTTGCGACGACCTTATCCAATGTTCCCCAGTACGGCCCTCACTCTCGGCTAGTTTAAAAGTTAGTATTCAAGGCTCAACTTTTTCGCCTCAAGAATGCCAACTCAATACATCACACAGCATAATTACATACAAATGAAAAAAAATTCATAACAATATGGAACGGAAGTTCAGTAACAAGGCCAATATTTCAATCATTAGCGGTACAAGCCATCACCCCATCTGGAGCCCATTACCCGGAGCCTCCACACCAATCGTACCCTTGAGTCAACCCTGTCCCGTATATTTTTATTTGTAGAACTGAGATACGTGAGGGGTTCTTTAATTTCCCGCGAAAACACGCTGACGTTCGCATAACACCCTAAAAAAATGGTAACCTCTCCGCGCTTTTCGCCATTATTGAAATACTTTCGTGCGGCCTGCATGTGACGTAAACAATAGAAAAATCACAGCTCTCTTATGATTGGCTATTATGTAAACACCCGCGGAAAAACCCCGTGGGAGGTGCTTCTAAAAGTTAGAAGATACGGGAGAGGGTTGACTGAGAGGGTAAGTATGGAAGATGGAAGCTCCGGATAATGGGAACTGTTTCTCGAAGGTTCCGCAATTTAACAGGCCCGGAAAGCTGTTCTGTTATCTTTCAAGATGGGATTTTCAAAATGTTTAAAGATTCTACAATAAAAAATATTAGCTTAAGAAACAACATTTACTTGGTTAGGGTGTCAGAATCCACTCATTCTCTATCTTTTAAATTTTCATTTTAAAATATGGCTTCGGGCCCATTAAGTTACCGGAAACTTCAAGAAAGGGGCACTAGGTCCGAAACTCGAACCCGGGGAACAGTGGTGGGGGGCAATACGCCGATAATATATTTTACAACATCAGCTGATCCCTATAACATCTAAATAATTTGTCTTTGTATACGTAAAATAAATATATTTTAAACTTTTTAAAATTCTAATAGTTGATGCATGCAATGACCCATGCTCTAACTACTCAAGAACTCAACGTAAACGACCGTCTTCTCAGTTATACTGATCAGAGCTCACCCAAATGTGATAAAAATGACCTTATTCCTGGTTGGTATCGCTTCCCTGGTGTTCCTGGTAACCTTACAATGCCTACTGCATGTCCAACAGATGTGCGTGTCTGTAATACCCATGCCCCGGGATGTCTCAACGGTCAACATCCTACGACAGATGAAGGCGAAGTAACGCGTCAAGTTTGTTGTCACTGGTTAAGCAACTGCTACAAATGGTCAAACAACATCAAAGTGAAGAACTGTGGAGCGTATTATGTGTATGAGCAACAAAAAAAAACCCGTATGCAATCTTCAATGTTGTGGTTAGTATCAACTTTTCGAAGGAACAATTCCCGTCCCCAAGAAAACCTATCAAAATAATTCTTGCGGAGATAACCTTTTTCGTTAACTGTGCAATTACCTTGGGCTTGTCCCAAGGCTCTTTTGTGCGCACTCTTTCGTTAGGTTTCCTCCTCAAGATTAGAGTCGACAAAATTGGTATAACAGAAAATAATAGAGTGGTAATTTATAGATTTCCGGTTTTCAATCGTAACAAAACTCTTCCATTATCGGGTAAATCTAACTAGAGTTGTACCTTTATGGATGTCATTTAATAACACACACGTTTCAAATCCGAGTTTATTTTTATATCAGTGAAAAAAAAAAAATCTGCGATGATAGAGTGTTCGGGAGAAAACTCTTTATGGTGACGCACTATTACTGTTTTAAGTTTGAAAATCAGTTTGAAAATTTTTCATTACATTTATACCCTAACATCAGTTTGCATATTCTCCATACTGCTCTCGATACATTTGCTATGGTACTGACAAGGAGAGTTTGTTTAACAATCAAGATCTTCAGTTGGTAATCTATCATTTCCTTTATCCTCGTGAACCAATCTTTGATTCAGGGATGATCTTGAATGGAGGAATTAAATGCAAGTTTGCGCAGCTGTGAAAGGGTTAAAATTGACTGAAAAGAAACGAAGGGTGGGTGTTCCAGTGAATTGTGTTTCAATCTGTAGCGCAACCTTGAGACTGCAGTTCTAGGGGAAAAAGTATCAAAACAAGGTTTATCAACCACATATGTGATGGACCAAGGCCGTTAGTGTGGAGACCTTAGCTTTGTTTCCCCATATGTTGTCAATACTTGAATTAAACAACTGTTTTTGAAAAAGAAGGACATCGGAAAGGAGAAATTCAGAACGATTCCTCACGGGAATTAAACAAATAAGGGGCGAATAAGCCACGGTGGGGCACCCTTTTGTTTATGTTCACGACCACGCCCTATTCCATCTTTTTTTTTCGCCAAAACCGATATAACATGCGTGTATGTGGTTGAATTGTTTCACACCCACCAAGTATGACGCGTAACTAGTCAGCTGCCTGTTGAGTTAGAGGACGTTAATACAAGGAGATACGAAGTGAGGGCTTTGCGAAACCAAAAGGATTTTAAGTCAAGTAGATACGGACTATGGAAGAATTTGTACTCTTCTTCTAAGACATGTCTCACTGGTACTAAGGTTAGAACTTCCTTAAGGTCTGTTGCTTAAGGGTTTGTCATAGAAGACGATGAAGAACACAAATGATGACAGTCGCAAGTAGGGGAAAAATAGCCTGAAAACAAGAGCAAGAAGACTACGACCCTGTCAGGTATGTAGCGCAAACTGCTGTAGTGTTCTTTTCGTGTCTTCTTCACATAAACATACAGAAGACGAAAACAAAAAACGACACCTTCTTTCTTATGGTTTTTCTGAATTCTTCTCTTGGCAAGCTATTTTAAAACTAAATCAAGTCCTGCTGCCAAGTCATTAAAAACTGCTAAATTATCATCAATTCAAAATCGACGTAGACAAATTCACTCAAGAAATTTCAAGTTTAATGTCAAAAGTAATCCAAATTTACATTAGTCAGACTCCAAGATTGATTTTGAAAACTGACACCTTTTCCTGCGCCTCAGAGTTGACTATTTTGAACTTTTAGTACGTACTCATAAGTTCGTTGTAACATATTCCTTTTTCCCGATTTTAAACCGTGATTACGTTGGTTTTGGTTTGATAACACTCAATTGAAAGAACAAGTGTGCTACACAGTATTAAGAAACATTACAGTGTGAAACAACTCTGGGGCGGAATCCCAGCTATGAGTCAGAGAACACAATCTTTTTAATGCTGTAGACTGGTTAAGCTGAGAATAAGGTAAAATTTAAATACTCTACAAAGCAATGTGACATGCAATCTCGTCATTGAAAGAATTCGGTGTCTAGCAAGTAATAATAATAATAATAATAATTAAAAGAAGGTAAGGACTCTTAGGACCCCACCCTCCCCCCTCCCCCCCCATCTTGTATAATTTAAATATTCAGTAGCTTACGGGGGCTGACGTTTCATCAAATTAAGTCGTTTAATGTTTGATTTAAAGTTAGAGTGTGGGAGAGAGGGGGAGCGGGGAAGGACGAGAAGACCGCATCAATCAGAGACTCCTTTCGTGGGTGAACAGAATTTCCCAAAAAGAACATTAATCTCGAGCTGGCGTTATTTCTGTAGCCCCATCCCCTCCCCTCTCCCTCCTTTTGACGGTCGCCCATCCACTAGGTAGAAAATGTCTTTCTCTCCCCAGCCTTCCGCTCCTGTAAAAATCAAAGATGGCAGCAGCTATAATTTTCACCAAGAAAATAACGACCACTTACTCGCGCCAAAATCACGCCTGCCCTGCAGACTTCAATTTTAACAAAGAACGCCCAACTGCGAGACAATCATTCAAATAGAACAGACAAATCAGGAAACCACACAGGTGAGGTCAATTGAAAGGCGTAACAATATGTCTCACTGGATACAATAAACAGGAAACTAAGCAGGAAACTTAAAAGTAGCCTCTTCGTACTTCCCTTAGCTAATTGCACTTAAAAATTGCCTTCAGGGATAAACAACATGATTAGTTTATTTTCAGTATCGGTAACTATAATGTTGCCGTCTTGTTCGAGAAGTAAACGATGCGCAGATTTTAATTGCTGTTCAAAGTCTCCTTCCAATCCTTACTCAATACCCTTGTCCTCTCTAGACTCGCATTTAAGGCTAAACAGCACCTGAACAAGAGGGACGAAGGACTGAACAATACCTCTTGTCATGTCTGCACCTAAAATATCCTTGTTCTTGTCTGGCGCATCGAACTGTTTGCCTCTGTTGTCTCGCTTAACAGACCAAATCCCTTGCAGGCTTAAGCCACGTCCGGTCCATTTGCTGGCTCTAACATATTCAAAGGCTTGAAATTGCTAAAAAAATTTTTTTCTTGGACAGGGAATGGACTGCAGATAATGTCTTCCACATTTAATAACCCACAAGGACGCTCGCATCTCTTGGGTTACTTGGGCGAAAAAGTGTATCTCGTAGAGCCCATCTTCATTGTTGCGGCCTCTCACTCCTGTAGCACTTTCGAGACAATTTTTGTCTTCGACTCCCATAGCAATTCGAACTTTCTGGTTGTAGCAAGGATCGCCGGCAGAGCTTCTTCCACTTATCTCGATTTTTCCTCCGCATCCGGCAAATGCTTCACAAATTCCTCCAACTTAGACACAACAACGGGCGGTATCCGAATCACTTTTCGTTTATGAGCCAATTCCTTTCTTGTTGAGAATGTCCAAAATCTTACTACTTTCCTTGGCGGACGAATCTCCTTTATGAGAAGCTTTTAGGATGTTATAAGATTCGAAAATAGAGATAGTCTAACAACAAAATCATATGCTTCTGCTAATAGCTAGCCACTCGACTATCACGTTCTCCACAGTAGAAAGTATGATCCCATGATAAGATTGTTTTTTATTTTTATTTTTTCCGCTATGGGTGACGATAAACAAAGTGAAATGACTCCCACAAACAGTACACTGCGCCATGCGGGAAAGCAAACCATTAACACTTTTCCCAGTACTTTGAACAATTCCACTCGAAGCACTAGAAACGATATCTTTCGTTATTCAAGTCACACGCTTTTGCGAAACTTAAAGAGCTTTTGGTCGTGATAATAGAGCTTACTCCTATTGTTGTAATCATTCAAAATAGCTTGAAGAGATAACATATACATATATATATATATATATATATAATCTCATTTCAACATATCTCGTGAGAAGCAACATACACCAATTCTTCTTGAATAAAAACTCTCCCCATCAAGGGAGGGGCCAATAAAAAGAATCATTAACAGTACCATTATCAATAAAAATATCTTTGTTGATTTCGTTATAAATGAAAAGAAAGAAACCCACATTTTATATGCCAACTGAGTTTGTTTGACCGAAGCGTCCAAAGCGTGTAGTCCGCGCGTATTTTTCTTTAGTGAAGAAATGAAAAACCGTGTTGGTCTAAAACGGTTTTTTTATCAGTCTCTCTAGTTTTTTTATTCTACTTGACTCCTGCTCGGTTGCGGTGTGAGAAGAAACAGCCGCAGACTCTCCAGGCGCACTACCTGCCGGAGGGGAGGGTAGACGAGAGCGAAATAGGTCCAGCATGCTGTGTTGTTCGCTCCGCTTTAAACCCTGGAGAGAGAGTTGGTACATAACAATTACTACGAAAAAAAATTTAGCTAGCTAAATATACTTGCCTTGACAGTTTTCGAAATGAATGTTTATCCCACGGCAAACACTTAAACACGACGTTCGCCTAAAATAAAACTCTGTGTGTTGTTCTGTTTTTTGTTTTGTTTTGTTTTGTTTTTTTGAATTATTAAAGCTGGGGTTTCCATAAAAGCAAGTTTACTGTCGGTCTACCGCCGCCACCCAAGTTTGGGTTTCGCTTCACGACCTCTTTTACGGCTGTTTACGGAAAGAGATATTTAAACCCTTGTATGAAGTGCGACTTAAACATCAAGCGACGACAGCACAAAAAAAACCGTTAACGGTGCAGAGAACCATTGGCCAGCACGACTTTGAAAGCTCTACACGAAAAGTGGCCGACAAAGGGAAACATACTGGTAAGGACGACATATGACGCGAAGCATATCAACAGTGGTTTCGGACACGCGTCCATATCTTCTTACCTGAGCACCTTATAGTACGTTACATTACGATGTCGGTGCAAAGAAAACACTACGACTTCTGCTACAGGAACGACAGTAACCATTGTAAACTATGGCGTTGTTACTATTGTTTGCTTTTTGTTATTAGTATTTGCTGCGGCTAATAACAATTTTCATGACGGAGGTTCATGCAGTAAAAATCAATTTACAAATTTGTATGATGATGTTAACTTACGATATAAAACTGGTGATATCATGTTTATAGTAAACATCACAGTGAAAAGGCCATAAGGTAGCAGTTCAATTGTTCTCACCTTCATGTCCAGTAGTTTTTGGAAGTTAGAAGTATCTGTATCAGCAAGTAACTTTATATAATTGTCCACAAATCCAACCGCAGGATCGTGAGGAGACATAACGACCTACAACGAAAAACAAAGTGATTGAAGTAGGTTTAGGTACATTAATGGCGATTTTCACTCTTTCACTCCCAATATCTCATTAGTAATTCTCCTTACTGTCTGCCATACAATTCTTATGATGTTAGTTTGGAGAATTTGGAATAAGATCAACTTATAATCCTCTAATTGATATGAGGGCTCAGCTGCTAATCTAATATGGGAGGTTTTCGAGGGAAGACGTTTCCACTGGAAAAAAAACTGTTCAAGACAGATACACTTATTGAAATCCTATTACTTAAGCTATATGAGAAATCTGAAAAAGCTTCTGTCCTGGCTAAGTGAAAGAGGTAATCCCCTTGTGCTTTTCTTCAACAAGAGGGTACAAGAGAACAGAAGAAAAAGGTCTCCAACCAGGTGGTGTCGTCCAATCCATTACCTTTAATATCATTTCTGCCTTTTTCATTCCCTTCGCCACCACTTTAGTGTAACTGCAGCCAAGAAATCATATAACAAATAAACAACTGATGAATTTAGAATATATGGGTGAAGTGTTAAAACTATCTACTATAACAAAGTACATTTTTTCCTGTGACTGATTACAAACACAACGAGCGAGTACCGAAAACGTTCTGATTGCTCCCTCCCCTTTTAAGCCCCTCGCTCTGAGATGCCCCTTTGACCATTTAACTCCCACAAGTGATTAACAAGTAACTTCTCCCTATAATATCTAAACATTTTCCAGCAAACAGATCATGAGAATATTTATATTTATTAGGTCGAAGTTGTTACCTCGATCTGATACCAAATTCTCGTAACTTATTGATAAGGAAATGCGTAGCAGCTAGATGGGAGAATTAACAATCAGATCTTGGGAGTTAAAGGTTAAGTCCAGAACTTAAAGTATCTCCCCTACAGATCTCCCTTCCTCCCCCATGTTAGGGCGTTTCTGGTCGTTTAACAGTTGAGTTAAAGGATAAGCTGGATGACTTACCTTGCTGGAGGCTTCCTTTGCACTTTTGAGCCAATTGAGGGAAGATCAAGGAGAGTTGTTTTAAGAGAGTGAGTGTCCAGTAACAGCTGCAGCGTAACAAAAACGAAGAAAACAGCCATTGGCACAAACCTCTTAAAAATATTACAGGATGCTTCAATCAGATCGAAACAACTGGACAAGCAGAGCGAAGTAATTCACAGCCAGAAGCATGAACTGAGGAAAGACTTACGCCCTAAATATTTCCTCGAGAGGAAATAAATAAAAAAAACTTCCTTAGTACTAAAGCGTTCGTCTTTTTCAAAATGCAGGTACTGTTTAAGGTCTATAACCTGTCAGACGAGGTAGCGTCATGCTTAGCGCGCTGGAATCCGCAAAGGAAGGTTCTGGTTTAAATCCTAGCGGAGTCATTGAGTGAGACACTTCACTTTCAGAGTGCCTATCCCCACCTAGGATTACGAATTAGTACGGGTGACATGCCGGGAAAACCAAAAGAATTGCTTGTGGGTAAGCTGCCCCAATGGAGCGGCATTCCATTCAGCGTCAGTAACAATGTTATCTGTCCCTGGGTTAATCTTCGACAGGGCGGGTCTCTAAGCCTGTTGGCAGACGTCCGTACCTTTCCTTTGAGGGCTTCAAATACTTGCAAAACTCTAAAAACCCGATATAGTAACTTTCACTCTACCTGCTCAGCGCCAACAGTACTAATTGGCTTGCATTTATACAAGTTGCTGATGAACCGTGGAATGAAAGAACTGAGGAAAAAACAAAAAAATTATCTTCTCTCACACACTAGCTCATCATCTTAGCTTTATGAGACTCGACGAACTGTCGGAGCATTTTAACCTTTATCATTCAACACACTTTTCTATAAATAATAATGGCAAATACTTGTATCCGTGAGATAGAGCCACAGTAACAGCATTGCCTAATCGAAAACAGTCTCGAGTTACTTTCGCCAGCAATAATCAAGATAACCACACATTGCGTTACTTTATTCTGAGAGGACTACTTCATCCTTTTCATTCTTCATCGCAAATTATTCAGGACTGCATTCATTTTGCTTTGGTTTTCAATCACCCAGATGCAAAACTGAAACTTGCAATTGCGACTTATAACCCCAAGGTTCAATTGCTAATCCTTCCCTCTGGCTGCTTAACACGAATATGATGTCAGATAAACTCAACTTTGCAACTGATAAGTTGGAGTATTCACATTATCTGTTAGCAGGATAATGTAAGGATATTACGAGGAGAGGTTCCACGTTAACCACTTCTGGGTGTTAATTTTTAAAAATACCGCGTTTTCTCGCGCTTCGGGCCGGTTCCGTTTTAACTATGAGTTCCCAATGACTCACTTTGATATTCATCATTGTTCTTATTTCCCGTTTTGATTACATTGGTTTTAGTTTTACGATAATCAAAATCAAGCTTACTTGACAAACTTTACGCAAAACTGAGTGAAGTATTTTCTTGCTGAGGACAGGTAATCACGTAAAAGAGGTACGGCTTCCTTCAGGTGATTGGAAATGGCTGTCACATAAGAGCTCTCGTCTCCTACAGCCTCTACGCTTTGCCAATTAACCTTTAAGTAAACAAAAGCAGTTGACGAGTCAATTTTCTCCCAACAACGTGGCCTATGTTTGGTCGATCCGAACTAAACATACGCTTAGGTGACGTCATAAGTTGTTTTCATTATTTTCTCCAACAAGGACCATGGTTCTGGAAATGTTTGCAAGGTTCAGAAAAGGCCTCGAGGAAAGTTAGGCAGAAGGTATCCACTGACACCAAAGTAAGAGACCATGGCAATAAAAATTGGAGCAAATCCTCGAAAATTCGAGCCGTGTATCTCTTTTTCATTTAAGGAAGAGTTAAAGATAATTCAACAACTGCAAGTCATTTACACCAGATTCGCTGCGGCTCGTAACCCAGAGTTTGGATATCATCTCAGGTCGATAAATGGACAAACACACAGCAAAGTGGCATCTATTTCTAAAGCTTATAACTTCCTGGTCTTTTTTCTCCTTTTTTTCGCTAATTCTATCTAATGGATTTAACCTTGTCATGTTTATCTCTGATTATTATTAAAATAACTCTAAAAAGTTTTACTGTCAACTTAACTACAAGTAAGAAATGGTGACTGGAAAAGAACCATGAAAGATATGTATTTATTGCTTCAAAAGTTGCCATTTCCTCTGGGGGCCATTTCAGTGATTATTTATGACTCAATACGCGTCACCTGAAGAAGAAAAGAAGAACACTGCACCTTTATCAATGCTGTCAAGGGCGCATCGCAAGCATTCTCCAAGTCTTGTACAAGCAGCTGGATACAGTTCGAAATGACACTGGCGATAAAATAAACGCAAATGAGTAGATTGTTAATAGTTACCACCCTGTGATGTCATTTACCTCAACCTGAAAACGAGGCCGAGTACAAATTGCTCAACTATACAATGACTCAACAGAAATTTTAGTTTACACTCAGTATACAAAGCAGGTTACTAGTATCTTCGAAAGACAAAATGGAGCTTTACTAAATATTTTATATGAACAACCGTCACTTCACAGGGGAAATTCACCAAGGAATAAAGATGTCCCCCAACTGTATTGTAATTAATTTAGTAAGCACTTAATTTTGCGTAAATGAAAGAGGCATATTCCGGCTGGACAGAAAAATCGTGTTCCAAGGAAAAGAATTTAAAAAACAAATCAATCGGCATGGTTTCAATTTAATTCTTGTAGCCGTATATTTAACAGAACAATGGCAAGAGAAACTTTCAACGTCATCGTCCGCAATAAAGAACAAGATTATATTTCTACTACACAGTGTTAAAAGCCTCACTAGTACCAGTAACACCGACTCAAATTACTATAAAACGTTAAGGGACAATAACTAAATGACAGTGTCAACTTCTCAAAACGGGTTTTTTTATAAGAGGGGGGGGGGGAATTGAACTTCCTTGAGAAGCTCAGGGGTTTCTCATTCAGTACCTCATGCAGAACTTTATAGCCACAAGAGGAAACAATTCTTGACCTAGTCTGTAATCAACTTCAGTGGACTTGACACATCCCTAAGCCATACAAGGAGAATTTCTGCGCTCTTGTCTTCCGGTAGTTCATTTTGGCGCCCAGGTCCAAAAATCAGAGGGTACATCGGAGTGAAAATGATTAAAAATAGAACTTAGGCGTGTTTTCTTCCTTTTACAGGTGCTTTCACTGACTTTCAGTTCTTTAACCAATACACTTTTATCAATTTGACGGTTTAATTTTCTTAAATAAATATTTGCAAGATAGAATTCGGAACTCACAGTTGCTAACTGTTCTGTTTTCAGAAATTAAAGCTAATACATTGATCAGAAAAGTTCCATAAGAATCACTTTTCGGTAGATACACTTTTCAAAAGGAAGTAAGGAATGATAACAAAAAGCAGCGAAGAACATCAATTAACTCTAGACGTGTACCGTTTAATTTATTCAGCAAGGAGCTTGTGCGCCAATTTGTCTTGTTCATTGCTGTTTTTTTACCAGCTGCTTTGAAACTTTTTAAACAAACTGCAATCGAATCACGCACAGAGAAGATCATCATCTAGCGTCAACTCCAGAGAACGACTGATCATCAATAGCTATGTCAAACTCGTCCGGAGAAGGAACCCTTGTGAACACAAATCCCTTTGTATCACCTAGCTTTGTTAAATTATTCTCAGCCATTAACATTTTTCTTTCCATCACAGTAATTCTAGGAAATGTCCTCATCCTTCTTGCTCTCCATCGAGTGTCTTCTATTTATCCGCCGACAAAATTCTTCTTCCGATGTCTAGCTATCACGGACCTAAGCGTCGGGCTATTTACACAACCACTCTACATAACCTACAAGATCTCTTCGCTAGTAAACATGGAAAGAACTACTTTTTACGGCAAGTATCTTGAAGCAGTTCGCATGGCTTCAAGTGCAGTTTTGTGTGGATTATCCGTTTTGGCGTCAACTGCCATAAGTGTCGACAGACTTCTCGCCCTGTTGTTGAGGCTGAGATACAGATATGTTGTAACCTTGATGCGAGTTCGTCTCACAATGCTTTGCTTTTTGATCATTTGTGCTTTATTCGTCGTTATTTGGGTTTGGGAAACGGAAGTTTTCTACAAGTTATCCTCTATTATCATAACGCTTTCGTTGGCAACTTCTATTGCATCTTACGTCAAGATCCACTTGTCCATACGACATCAACAGGCACGAATACAAAACCATGTTCCCCAAGCAGAATCGAGCACAGGAGCAAGTCCATTCCACATAATAAGATACAAAAAGACAGTGTCTAGTATTTTGTGGGTACAACTGGCCTTAGTTGTGTGTTATGTTCCCTATGTTATTGCGGCAGGGACTGGAGAAGACAACGGGCTAGCTTGGTTGGCTGTAACCACCCTCGTCTTTTTAAATTCATCTCTAAACCCGATCTTGTACTGCTGGAGAATCACAGAAGTGCGAAAAGCAGTGAAGGATACAATCAGGCAACGACACTGTTGTTAGGCAGAACTTCGTGGATCGACAGTGAATATTCTTTAAACAGCGTGGAATAGTAAAGGCCCTAAGTGCATCATAATTGCTTTCAACTACGACATTTTCAACCACTGTTGGTTGTTGCGGAGAATTGTCTCTAAGTAAAATAGAATGCGTGAATCGAGAGTTTCGTGTCACTCCTTATGGATCAGTCAGTATTTTCAGCTCAACTAACTGCTAATTTTTCCTAGCAACTACAATAATGTATAGAACGCCCTCAATTTTTTTCTTGAAAAGGTAATCACTCACAAAAGAGCTTCGTCAACGAAAATTTATAAGGGAATCAAATCAGCTTATGACCAAGATACAGTTTTCTGTAATTTGAAAATGTCGAGAGAATTCAAAGCTAACTCAGTTCACTGACGAACGAAATTAATTAAATTGAAAATGCTTCCAAAACCATGAAACTACTGCACGTGTAGCTATAAAACTATTTATTACACAATGTTCTTCCTTCCCTACAGGATGATCCGAATCTGCAGGAAATTTCATTTAAAAAAACCAATTTATTATTTTAAAGAGCCTAAAAGCAATTCAAAATACACCATAATTTCCGTCATTCAGAAATTATAAAAACTGCTTTGTTTGGACCATTGAGCTGTCTGTCAATTTCTGAGAGCAGGTGCAAATTTCTTCAGGCACCTTTCGCATGCACGAATTGAAATGAAAATGCGCCAGTGATATCTTTTATCATAATAAGGCAAAGTAGTCTTGACATGAATTCGAACGCTCTGATTTCTTTTTTTTTTGGCCGCGATGTTGCCATGTGGACGGGCACCTTGCACGAAAAAAGTCATGAGCCATTTTGTTTTGTTTTGAAAACCACCGTATTTAAACATGTCAACACTCCAATTCTCTGCAAAGAGATTGCCTGAAACATTGACAATGAGTTTACAGTAGAGAAATAGAAAACCTCACCAAGCGAAATTCATTATCCTCAAGACCTTGTAGCAAAAGATCTTAGAAACTGAAACAGGCATACACAAAAGACAGGTTTCGCAGATAATTTTAAACACAAACACAAAATGTGTAAAAGCAAATAACAAGACGGGTACTGATGTTCCATGGAAATGGTATGCAAATAAAAGAACCTAAAGTCCACCTTTTATCCGACATTCCATGTGATCAAGCGACTGGTAATTTTGTTTTAAAACTCGTTACAGCTTACTCCACCTGAGTTGCTCATACGAGTGACCGGAAGTGCACTTTGTTACAAAAAGTTAAAAAAAGCATGCCATGATTGCCATATGATAAACTACTCACGACCTCAGCACGCTATCAGGTCGTTTTTGTGGGAACCTTCCTGCGCTTGGTCAGCACTGCCGTGATCTCGGGCCAACACTCCCCTCGGATGGTAAAAGGTATGACCGATACTCAGAACATTTCTTTTCATTTACAATTCATGTTCAATTTTCGTATCAATTTCAGGGGGAAATAGCTCAATTTCAGTTATTCAAAGGTGACTAATTTCTCACTTTTTAACATAATTTCCACGCAACGAGAATTTGGTTAATAACTGCTATGTAGCGTCGTGTTTTCGAAAAACTAATTGATATACCTGTCAATTTTGAAAGCAAGAGTTTTCTTCATTTCCTTAGGAGTAATTATTGCTCGACTTATGTTATTGAGAGGATGAATAACTTCTATCAATCGTAAAATCAGGTACGCGTCAACAATTGCCTCGAACTAATTGAAACTCCGGATCAATATCAGTATCTGGGCAACTGCCCACCTACCCCTCCCCTAATTCAACTACAGTCAATTGATAACAAGTTAGGGTTAATGTTGGGTTACGGGAGGGGTAGGTGGACAGTTGCCCAGATACTGATATTAATCCGAAACTCCTAAGTCACTACTCCTTTGTAGGATTTGTATAGATTTATAGTACTCAATCGTTTTAACGTAGTTTCCAAGTAGAGAGAATTCTAGCGTTGGCTCACAGGCGGTGTCATATTTCCCGCCACCTAGGTGACATATCTACGTCTCTCGAACGACATATAAATTATCTAACATATGAAGAAAACAAACAGAGTTCAAAATTTAAAGAACTGATGTTAACTTCGTTAATAAATCACGTCACAAGTTACCTTGAAGAAAACAAGGAAATTGCTCAGATTTTCATTTGATTTTTCATAATCCATTAAAAATCGAAAACCGAAATAGACCATTTAGATTAAAAAGCGCGAACAACTTCTGTATCTCTGGCATGTGTCTTATGCCGACGCTGTAATTATCAGGTGTTAATGAAAATGGAAAGTCAAGTCAAAGAGAAGCTTAATCATTCTCTTAAAACCCTCCATTGGAAATATCGTCGTAAAGTTACGGCAAACAACTTTAATTTCTTAAAGATCCCAGCAGCTGTATTCATCGAAACTAATATCTTATGTCAACAAACGACCACATTTATACTCTCTGATGAAACCTCTTCAAATTAATATTGGTCACTGGACAAAAATTAAGCTATAACCAATAGAATCTGCTCGTAATCAGCGATAAGAAAAAAACGGTCAGCTTGTCTTTACTCGATTTTGTTCTATTTCGGCTCTTGTTGTTGTTTTCCTCTCAGGCAGATTCGCCGTAAACAGGTGACATTCACTTTTTCGGTATTCCTTATGGCGTTTGATTTAACCGATTATTAAACTCGTTTACAGCACCGGACTGCCAATCGGGAGAAGTCGTGTAACAACGTAACGCCGCTTTGTCAGTTAGGACACAAATGATTCATAAACTAAACAAAACATATTAAAAATGTAATACAGTATAAACTCATCGCACAAGGATGACACGCCTCGGGTTGGTAAAATTAAAACTTGAGCATATGCCTCGAGAGTTACATTATCACCTACAAAAAGCTGATAACACTGCAACGAGCCCAACATTTTTACCGCGGAGAACAATGGAAAACTCTTCAGAAAAAGACTTCTTCATAACCATAGCGCGCGAAATTCTTAGATCATCACCAGCAGGCCTGGTTGAATTTCTTTTGGTTCTGAATATTCTTCTTTCCATCAGTGCATTTCTGAGCAATGTTCTGATCCTTTTTTCACTTCGCCAAGTGTTGTCTATTCATCTTCCAACGAAACTCTTCTTTCGATGCCTTGCAGTCACTGACTTTTGCGTTGGGCTCATTGTTCAACCACTCTATGTGTATGTAACCTACACTGCGTTTCGTGTGAAAGATATCAGAGGCGATGTTTTGTATCGTGTCTACAATATTTGTGGGATAATAAGTACGATTTTGTCTGCAGTGTCTGTCTTGACCTCGACTGCCATTAGTGTAGACAGACTCCTTGTGCTGATGTTGGAAATGAGATACAGACATGTTGTAACATTGGGTCGGGTTCGCGGTGTGGTTATCGGTTTTTGGTTACTTGGTGCCTCGACTTTGCCAGTGTGGTTGTGGAGTAAAGAAAACTTCTACAGAGGATCGTCTCTTATCGTACTACTGTGTTTGATAACTTCGACTTCATGCTACGTGAAGATTCATCTAACACTCTGGAAACATCACGCTCAGATAAATGTACAAAACCACTTCCTAGAACAACCGAATGAACGTGGAGGGAGTCCGCTCAACATTGCAAGATATAAAAAAACACTGTCCAGCATTTCATGGGTGCAAGTGGCCTTACTTGTCTGCTATATTCCTTATAGTATCGTAGCTGGGTCTGGAAATACCAACCAGGTTATTTGGTCGGCTACAGCAAGTCTGGTTTTCTTAAACTCGTCTCTTAACCCGATCTTGTACTGCTGGAAGATCAGAGAAGTACGACATGCCGTGAAGGATACAATCAGCCATATAAACTGCTTTGTTTTTAAAAAACAGCTCTAGGCAAGGATGCTCGAAACATAAAATTTCAAAGTAGGTGTTGCGTTTAACCTAGTTGCGATTTGGTAATTTTCGACAAAATACAGACGCTACTACTAAGCCTCTGGAACTCACGAGCAGATGACTTACAAAGAAGGGTTGAGCAGTGTTTTTGATAGCGTGGCACTTCTATAAAATGCTTTTCCTGTTAATAATGCAATTTCCTACTGTAAGAGTTCTCATATAAGTTTGTTCTCTTTATAATCTTCTTGTAGCCATTGGATTGATTTTCAATTATCGCTGCCATCGCTCGCATCAAACACAAGGGTATTCTGAGAAACTACGATGCTTTTGGTGTTTTTTGTTATCTCGGCTTAATCAAAGTAATTACAATATTCAATCACAGGAAAGGAAAATAAATCACAAAGAGCACGGGAGAGCGCAGAGTAAAAAATAATCAAATACTAGAAGTGCGGGAAAACGCGAGTGACCAAATCGCGAATGGTTTTAGTTTTTATTCTAATTAGTTGAGTGGATGGCGTGAGTTTTCTGGACCAATCACTGACTATTTTCGAGACTCAAATGGAAAACTTCCCTATTAGGTTCCTTATCGCTAAGTACAGTGGTTCTTGTATGATCACCACGACTACCGGTCATGTTTTTTGGCGATAGTAACCATGTTTGACTAAATGATTTTTCCGATAAAAGTTAAATAAAAGTTTCCGTAACGAAAAAAGAAAAAATCTACTTGAAGGTGACATGGCTTACATTTTCATGATAAGACAACTGTTCAGTAAATTCATAAAAAAGATAGTAAGTAGAAAATGTTAACCAAGGTGTCCTCACAACATATTTTGACATCTGGAAACATGGGTTTCAAAGACGTGAATGGTGAAATGACCCAGACCTAACAACAGCTCATTAATAACAAAATAGCAGGTGGACAGCAACACATTATTATAAATAAAATAATTAACTTTGACAGCTTTTGAACTGAAAGTGTTAAACAAGCGATACTTAACAACAACCATCGATACCAAATTCTTAAAGATCTCTCATCTTCCCACTTCCTCCGAACGAAGTTCAAGGAAACCTTTGTTTAAACTGCATGCCTTTCTGACTTTCAATTCAAGAACATATTTTTTATTGCGCGATTACTTAAGAATTTCCACTGGATATGCTGCACAAAAGGAGCTGAATGATTTGACAGAGTCATTCAATTCCCAGCAGGTGTTTTTTCTCATCACTGTTCAAACAACAACCTGTCATCTTTTCTTTGCCAAACGACGGTTTTAAAATCAGTACTTGTGAAATTAAGCCTTGAGTTCTTACACGATACTCACGGAAACCAGCAGTTAAAAGGTAACATTTACCGTTATTTAAACGGAATTTCGGCACATTACATACAGTCGCCCATTTAAAGGGCACCTTTGCTCGTTCTCTCACCGAGCATGCGCGATAGAATCACATGATTTAATACCCATATAACTTGTGTTTCCTTTTTTTCATCAAACCACACCAACAGTCGACTGATATCTCGTAGGGAAAACAAACGAATTCATGAAACATCAAGTACATAGACCCCAAAAAACCTAGATACCAAACAGTGCATCAACTAGCTTAACACTGAAATTTGGAAATTAAGATTTCACGAACAATCACCGACATCAAGAAATTCCTCGCACCAACTAAAACTTAGAATAATCATCTAACACAATGTCGAACTCAGTTGAAGACAACAAGTTCGAAAGCGGACTAATTGAAGCGCTACAAACATTACCAAAAGGTATTGTTGATTTGTTTTCAGCCTTGAATATCATTCTCGCGACTTTCGCTTTCCTGGGTAACATTCTTGTCATCATTGCTCTTTGCCGAGTATTATCCATTGCTCCATCGACAAAACTCTTTTTCCGATGCCTGGCAGTCAGTGATCTTTGTGTGGGCATCATCGTTCAACCGATTTACATCTATGCCACAATCGTTATGTCGAGTGGGAAAACAGTGACATTTTTCAAAGTTGGCGGTGTACTAAGCGCGGTTTTGTGCGGGGTATCTGTCATGACTTCAACTGCTGTAAGCGTGGACAGACTGTTAGCCCTGCATTTGGGGATAAGATACAGACATGGTGTATCATCAAAGCGAGTTCGCCTTGTTATTGTCAGTTTTTGGGCCAGTTCGATTTTATCGGCACCACTTTGGGTGTGGAAAAGAGACATTGCCTTTAAGCAAGCCTCTGTGGCGATCCTAATTTGTTTTGTGGCTTCAATAGTCTCATACGCCAAGATTCAATCGAAACTACGAAAACATCAAGGGCAAATTGAAAACCATGTTACCGGAACAAAACCGAGCGGGGAAGGGAACTCATTCAATGTAGCCAAATACAAAAAGACAGTGTCTAGCATAGTGTGAGTGCAATTGGCATTAGTTTTCTGCTACCTGCCTTTTGGGGTTGTATCTGGGATTGGAATAAACAACGGAGTAGATTGGTTAGCTGCAATAACATTGCTTTACTTTAACTCATCTCTAAATCCGATCCTCTACTGCTGGAGGATAAGACAAGTGCGACATGCAGTCAATGACATATTCAAGCAGCTGTACTGTTGTTAAACAAATGCGAGTCGATGGGCGCAAAGATAGAAACAGTGTGAAATGGAAGAGGATGGCAAAGAAGAAGATTTTATAATAGGAATAGACAAGGAAGAAGGAGGAAAGATTACTTCACATAGAGAATAGGGATAGGGAATAGGGAATAGGTGATGTGTACACTATTCATGATTAGAGATAAACGAAAAACGTGGCGAGGTAAATACTGTGAATATACTGTTATTTGGAACTTTTTTTGCTTCTAGAAATCTCCAGTCTGCTGAGTCAAGCTGACTTGTATACCGTAGAACTTTCCACAACATTTCATTCCGTCACACATTTATTATGTAATAATACTAGAATAGTTGTTATATAAGCTTCTGGAATGTTCCACAACATTTTGTGAATGGAGCGACGAATGTTTTGAAAGTTATACCAAGAGAGAATCACCGCGGAAGGCCGCTTATTTCAAAGAACTTTGGAGAGATTGTGTCGGTCGTGAGCTAGGATATAGAATTTGCTGGGCTTAATTAAGTTTATTAACGATGAGTATTGTACTAAGTTTGAGAGTCGCTCCTTGTTTAGAACATTACTCGCTGTTCAATAAAGTAGTTGATTTTGTAAGATCGTTTTTCTGTCGGTTAAATTATACCGTAACAATACAGTATAGTTTCAAACTGAAGGCGATACACACTTCGAATGATCTCGAACTTTAGGCTGCGTCCGGTCGACTTACGACGAAGTGTAGATGTCATTCTACCCTGGATACTTTGAGTCCCCAGTATCAGGAAAATTTTGTGAACTTAACTCAAAGCAAACCGGTAAATTTGAAAGGAAATGTTTACTTTGCGATTTGACATATCGCACAGAAACTGTAATAGAGGAAAATACAGGCACGAGTTGCCCTTTGCAACCAACCTTTGCAACACCTCGTGTCCGTTTATCCGCGCTTTGTGCGTTTTGTATATTAACCTCTCTACTTTGTTTGGTATCACATTATGGCAAGTTACTGACGCGAGTTATTCCACAAAAAATGAACGCGCTCGCCGGCCCTACGCCGGCTGTCGTCGTAATAGCAACGCTGCCAAAAATGTAAACCCGAAGGGTCCTTGACGATAAACAAGTTGGGACTAATGAATTTATGAGAAAATGACGAATCATTCTGACTCATGCCCAGTCGTCTCCAAAACGTCCGCGTTTCTATAGTGGGGAGATAGGGGTGATGGTAAGGCGGACGAGAACACTCTTCATCTCTCACACTTTCCCTTCCAATCATACTTTGCGCCCCCAACATGCCCGCGAAAGTTGCCACCGCTTTGAAAATTTCTGGAAACGCGACACTTAATCACTTCCGGTATGTTGACGACATACTTTCCTACGGTGTAAATATTAAGAGTGATTGCGAAATAATTTTGGTCATATATTGATTTCTAATCCCCGACGAGAGATGCTTGTCTCCGGTTTTTTCTGCAGTATATCGTCCACAAAATTCCAACATTTTTTCACGACTGCCAACAAGAAAATAGTACACTAAAATACAACCATGCATGAACAGTTGTGTGTGACTGATGAGCAGATACAACGGTGTAAATTCATCAACACAATATATTTCAACATCGCCAAACAAACGTCTGTAAAAAGAGTGAAAATATAATCTCCTTTTGTTGCGCAAGCTTCCGTCTTTAATTATTTTTCAACTTAAAATATATTGCCATAGTTTACAATGGCGACGTTTCTTAATATTACTTTTCTTAGTAATATAATGTTTGTTCAAACATAAAAGCATAATTAAGGGGGGCTATGTCACGAGTCACGATGTCATACCGCAAAAATGAACTTCTTCCGACAGTCGTTAAATCTACTCTTCATAGCCGAGACGAAACGCGGTATCATAGCAGCCACGAAGTATTTTTGCACAAGAATTTGGCAGTTTTTATTTTATAAATTACTCGATAGTCATCTTTTGAAAGTTGATCTTAGGTTTCAAAAAGTTTAGCATAAGGTGATTGGTAATCACTTTCGTTTATCGTGTGTCCATTATTTAAGCAGCACGGAAAGATTCGCAGTTTTGTAAATTTGCAGTGAGCACTAAAAATTGGCAAACTATACAAATTGACCTAAAATTAACTATTCCCTCGTATAGCTATTGTATAGTTCGATTTAAAAAAAAGTTCACTAAAAATCGCAACAGCTATTACAACAAACTGTCTTAGGCAAATGACATGTCCATCACCTTTCAACTAAAAAGACTTTATTAATTAAACAAAAAAAGAGGCAAAAATGTCTAAAGATTAGGTTGTCTATCAATGGCATAACGATTTAATTCTAGCCCTTAAAGCGGAAAAACTCATTTGTTCACTTCCTACGAGCAATGGCAGACTCTAATATAGAGGGAAACACTACCAGAACATTCAACGATGCTATTAATGCATCTCAAGCAAAGTTGGTTGAAATTTTCGCGGGCTTGAGTATTTTTCTCGCTATCGCTTCATCTGTCGGTAACTTTGTGATTCTCAGCGCTCTTTATCGAGTGTCGTCCATCTATCCTCCAACAAAACTATTCTTTCGATGCCTGGCAGCTACCGACCTCTGTGTTGGCCTTATAGTGCAGCCACTCTATACAACGTCTATCATGTCTTATGCAATGGAGATGAACGAGAATGTTTCGTATTACACTGGTAAGATCTGTGCGACGTCAAGTACAATTTTGTGCGGAGTATCTTTGTTAACAACGACTGTGATAAGTGTGGACAGACTTCTTGCGCTGTTGTTGGGATTGAGATACAGAACTTTTGTAACACTTAGGCGAGCTCGCTTTGTCATAACCTGTATTTGGATTATGATGGCTACAATTGCCATGATTGGGTTGTGGAAAGCGGATGTCTTCAACAAAGTGACCTCAGTCATGACAGTGCTTTCACTAATTACTTCGATGTCCTCTTATGCAAAAATTTACCTGACCCTAAGAAAGCATCAAACTCAAATACAAAAGGACTCCACCCATGGACAACCATACGTAGTAGGATTTGCAGTGAACATAGCAAGGTACAGAAAAACAGTGTCCAGCATTTTGTGGGTGCAGCTAGCGTTACTTGCCTGCTATGCCCCTTATGGCATTGTGGCTGGAATGAAAATAAACACTTTAGCGTGCTATTTGGTTTCGTCCGCTCTAGTCCACTTAAACTCAACTCTGAACCCGATCCTGTACTGCTGGAAGATCAGAGAAGTGAGAAAAGCAGTGAAGGATACGATCCAACAGCTACACAGTTGTTAAAAAGAACACTGTGGATCGATACTTGGTTGAGATGCAAAAGTTTTGGAGGAGTGTGGTATAGAAACAGGCCCTAAGTACAATAAGAGATTAGACCATCCTCGCTGCTGCTGGGGAGCATAGGGCGTGGATCGTGGATCTCCAAAGGACTCTGTTTTCGGCTGTTCCTCAAGTGATGTTATTTTTGTTTTTTTCGTCTTGGACAGTGCGCTCCTCCAAGACTGCTTTGGACGGCCTCTTTTTCTGGAACCCAGAGGCCGTCGGATATTCAGAATCTTCCGTAAACACTTACTGATGAAGGTACTTTAGTACAATAAAACTGCTGTCAAATATGACATTCTACACTCATGTTGACCCTTGCACAAATCAACTTCGAGTGGTAACTCAAATCCTCGAGTCTCATAACAAAAAAAACACGGATTGCAAAAACCAAAAAAATTTAATTTCCGCTGTATGTTCTTTTGGATTGGTTTGAACATTGCCAAAAAACTTCACAAGGCTTATTGATTGCTGCGTTTTCAAGAAATGACGTTACTTTAAACCCCTTTTCCTCAAGCAGTATTCAGCCTCTTTCTTTTCGCACAACAAAGAGCGCGCAAAAAGTCAGTAACAGTACATCAGAAAGATGAAAGGAAGTGGCTTGAAGTGTCTTCCACCTCCAATTTTCTAACACAAAAGTACGGTGTTCGTCTTGTGGATTCAATACATCGCATTCAGGCAATTGACGGTTACCATTACGTCCAAGTTATTCGGACGACGTGCTACTTGGCTCGAGAGCAATTTAGATTTGTCAAAATGCACAATTCAAACAGGTCTGAAAATCAGGTGTAAAAATTTTAGGCCACTAACCTATGGAATACATCTTGTTCCCCATTGAGGTCAATTTTCTCCGCCAATTCAGGATCAACTTTCTCCTTTAACTTCTCCTCTAACTATAGAGAATGGAAACTGCATTTGAATCAAGTACTAGATGGTGTTGAAAGAATCCGAGAAGGCTTTGAGTTTACACCCTGGCCGAAAGTTGTTGCTACTGAAAGGTAAGTACTCGCCCTTTACACAACCGATGAGATGAAAAACCAAACTGAATCTTGGAGAAGCATAAAACACCTCAGCTCTACAAAATCTATGATACAATGCAGGTACTAGTCACCCATTTAAGACAGAAGAGCAGAGTAGTTAAGAAAGAGAGAGTGACTTTTTAAAGCTGAAAAATATTTAATGAAGATGAACCCTTGGAGCATCTGGGGATAGTCGCGGTATTATCTAAAATAGAGACAGAATTTCACCTGTTGAGTTGTTTCCAGACAATAATCAGCTGTACAAAGAATACAACAAGTCAAACTTTGCTCTTCTTTGCTGAATTTCACTTCACCAGAATCCTTCAAGATGCTAGCCAAGCCACCTGTGCTCCTAAGGAGGGAGAGCAAAGAGCATTTATTATAAGAAACACTTTTTATTAGTTTTTTTAACTAAGATTACTCTGCGATCGAGTATCATAACACAAAGCAAACAAGCAGAGTAAAGGTAGATTTCACAAAGAACCAATAAGAACTGAAAAAACGAGTGACCAGGTCACTAAAAGTAGCAGAGTCAGTACATCAATACTTATGCAAAGACACGTTACTTTCGACATAAAATTGCTTTATCTTTTCACGTTTGAGGTTAATTTTGAAGATTTTATAAACGATTGCAAGATGCTGGTAATCGGACAAGTGAAATCAGCCAGTTTGAACCTACAACAGCCAATTAAACTTCAACGATTAGCTTTTCTGAATCAATCACTGAAATTCATGAATTTCTTTTGGTGTAATTGAGCCATTTGTGCTTAAAATCAACATATAACATTTAAAAATGCAACCATTTCCGTCAATAAAATTATATACCATAATACATGTAACTCCGAATACACCTTGCTTATTGCGTTGGTCTTCCCTTTTTTCCAAAGCTACCACACCAAAATATATCAAATAATAAAAGTTTTAACTTTGACAACCCAGAACAACACTCACTTTACAGGGAGATGGTTATTGAGTACTCTGGTAGCATACTCTCTGAGAAACTTCTGGAATGCCGCAGTGAGCGAGAGCAGCGGGGGCCCGGTGCTCAGCTGTGAGCACTGTACCATGCACTTTTTGTAGAACACAAATAGTTCACCAGCGCTGGGAAATACGACATTACTTCCATCACCTTCTACCATGGGGATTCCCTGAGACTTGAAATCTTGAACAAACCTGTCCATCAATTCTGATAGGTTTCTGTTGAGGAATGAGAGTAGTGTTCAGTTCTTCTAGTCTAAAAAGTAGTCAGTACCATCTAAAACCTACACCAATTACGCTTTTGTCAGGCGGCGTTTTCCCGCGCTGCTACCCAACCAGTTAGCTTGTCACGTTGAGTTCTCCTAAGCTCCGTCGATCGTTTCCTTTGTCCTAACTGGCCACTGTGATCATTTTGGCTTTGTGTTTAATAATCCTTAGTTTCAAATCCTTTATGAATGGACGACAGTTAAGACAAGGAAGGTTTCCAAGGCTTGTCCAAACTAGTGACTGAAGATTTTCCCATACAATAATCTTAACAATCATACTTACTTGTCTTGTGATTCTATATAAATATGAAGATGTGGCTCAAAACATCTTGAGATAATTCCTAAGAACTTGGACTGTTTTGGCTGAAAGAGGAAAAAAGTACAGAATACAACATTTTTTTTCAATCGTTGCATTTAGCTGCAGTCTGATTACGTGGGCACTTAATTTGTCTGAAAGGCAAACAACAAGGATTCTTTAATGAATGAACAAAGAGCACATTTCAGTGATCTCCAATTGCTAGAACTGAAAAATCTCTGGCTAACTAATTCAGGGGAACAATTCTGGACACCAAGGACTTTCTGTGTAAAAACTATGTAGATTTTTGTTATTGTCAAGACACAACTCACAATGATTTACTACCAAAAAAAGATTCTCTAATCATTTGAAAGTGATTCTCAAGGGAAAATGGTCAAAAAGGAACAAAATTAGGCAGATTTTGGAATTTTCAGCAGCTAGTTATAGTACTTAGTTCACTGACAATTCTTGCTCCAGAATAAAGGAAAACCAGTCACAGGCTACTTGGCTAACTTGTAAATAAATCGTGTACCATCTTAGAAATTTATGAGTTGTTCAAATGTCACATCAACACCTACATAATTTTTATATCATTTTGGAATCATGATACAAACCTTGTCTCCTTTCTCCTTTGGGTCTCCTTTCTCCTAAAAAACAAAATGGAGAAGAAACTGTAAAATAAGAAAAAAAACCTCCATAAAGTTTATTGTTGGTTCATACAATGTAAAAAAGCATTTGCAGTCATTCCCTTATCTAACACCTTTCTCTTACTCAAAGTCTCTGGGAGTAAATTCCAAGTTTCTATGCAAACATCAGCTGATAATGTGGTTGTTAGTATCATTGCTTTTGAAAATCAGCCACATCTGATTTAATTTGTGGTTTAACTTTAGACCAACCAGACCACAGTGAATTCCTCTGGCCAAATATATCCTTGGTTAACATATGACAAAACAACCTGCATCCTATGAACAATCTCCTCATACAAGCGTCTTGTCTTGACAAATTAAGAAAGATGGTAAATTTACACTTCAAAATTAAGATATCACACATTTGTGACAGGGAAGCAAAAATGTAGCAATCACAAAGGAGAAATGAATCAAGTACAATGCATTATATTAAACCAATAATAAAAACTGTTCAACAGAATCAATGGCAGTAAACTTTGTTACCTCATAGCCATGCTGAACAAACCTCTGAGCCAATAAACTTTCAAAGGTTGTTGTTCTTTGGATGGCAAACAAAAGCAGCTTGACATCAAGTTCTTGAACTCTTGCTGTCATGATTTTTGACAAATCTTTTCTGTGGGTCAACAAAGCACATCAAAGTAAAAAACTTACTTCTTCCCAAATGTATTCACCATAGCAATAAACCACTACCATTCAAGATATCTCATTTTTTATAAATCTAACAATTTGATGAGGATATTACTATCTACTGGTAATTACACACAAATATTCAAGGTTATCATTCTGTGACCTATAAAATATAACACTGCAGTGTAATGAATCAGTATTTTTTTTGCATTAAGAGAGTTTTTGTAGCATTACCTTTATAAAGTAACACATTCCTTAAAAAATTTGGAGTAAAAAATTTCATTAAGAGATGACACACATTTTTAAATAAAGAACTTTTCCAAAGATGCCTGTCAGTGAAAAAGTACAGATTTTCTTATATCCCTAAAATAATTTTACTGTAGAGGAATAAATTAATGATACATCCACACACAATTAATTTAAACTTTGGAACAATTTTCCATTGGGCATGGGAAGTAATCAAGGCTTACAATGGTCTTGCCTTACTTTGCTCTGTGGTTAGTCCATAAAACTTGCACCATCCTCCCAAACAAACACATTCAAAGCCAAAACCATCCTGACTTTGGTACACGTGTTTGACCAGTCTGTTTACCTTTACCTCAATTCTCATTAGCTCATTTTAATATTATTTTCCTTACATGTGATTGGTCACATGTCTTGGTTTCAGTTTTCCAAAACTCAATTGAAATGTGCTCTATCACTAAGGGTGGGATAATGTAATGTTTGTTCAGTCATACTTGGTTATTTTACAAAATTCTTCACTGATTCTCTCCTCCACATGCCATTCAAGTGGAAATGTCCCTTGAAAGTCTTCGTCAAACTTCACAAGAGCTCTCTTCAACCAGGAATACCGGCGGTCAATTTTATCAAGCCAAGAAACCTGGGTGCAGAAACAAAAACATGAAAATAGGTCAGAAGATAATTTCAGTTCAATGAGTTTTAAAGTAAATTCAAATGCAAATGAACACATATTCTAAAAACACCAAGGGCTGACTAACAAAAGTCAACATGGGATTCTCATCTTCATTATAACCCCTTAACTCCCAAGATCTGACTGTTAATTCTTCTCTCTAGCTGCTGCACATTCCTTTGTTGATTAGTTATAAAGGTTTGGTGTTATATTCAAGATAACAAATGTACCTGATAATTTTAAGTATTCTCATACCCTGCTTAATAATGTATGACTATTATAGAGAAAAGTTACAAGCTGATCACTTCTGGAAGTTACCAAAATAAAAACCTAAGGCTGCTACTATGTACCTCAAATGACTCATTGAAAAGCTGTTGATACTCTGCTAATTGGAGTTTGACAAACCAGGAGAGCAACTCATTCCTGTGAAATGATTAATAATAAAGTCAATTGGACGTCACAATATAATCAAAAGTGAACTTGGAGTATCAAAATATCTAGAAACAAAAATGGCAGCTACCTTGTAAGTTTTCACCAAAACTTTGCTCACTTAAATAAGCATTTTTTTTTCTTTTCACATAATGTATGAAGGTAATGATCAGTGTTTAATTTTTAAAACAACAAAACTTCTGATTCTGGACTCTTCTGCAGACAGGCAATCATAAAGAACTCCTTCTTTATTTTTTTCTATTTAACTGTTCAATTTTTTATTTCAATTTCATTTTTTAAATTTTACCAACAAGAAAACTTAAATGATTTTTCATCAGAAATATTTTCAATTAATAATGGTAATAGGACTTTGTGGTGTCCAATTTGGTCTGTAATCACAAGAGTGTTTAAAAAAATCAAACGACCACAAAACTGGAGTCCGTTTTGTTAATTATGAGTATGATTACACTGACAGAACTGGGCGACACCAAGTCCCGTTACTGATCAATCAAAACTTTGACAAAATTTGAGGAAGAAACTAGACATTGGTTGCACATTTTCATAAAAAAACAACAACAGTTAACTCGGCAAAATGCCTGACAGCAGAGTGTGCACATGACATGTACTGTCCACTTACAAAGGCATGACATGTTTTCTGTCCTATTACTCTGTCTACTTACAAGCATGGTGCATTCACTTTCCTATTAGTGCTCAAATTGAGCAGGTGAACATTCTAAAATTTTGTTATAGTTTTGATTATATTTTAAAAAAAAGGCCACTTACTTTACTTTAGGATCCAATACATTTACCACTTGACAAGCCTCAGCTAATTGTGAATTAGGTCCTGATGGCGGCTGCCGACAATTACAATTGAAAAATTTGTTCAGGTGTACTAAAATGCTTATCAACTATAGCAGTTACTTATTAATGCAGTACAAGTACCACACCAGTATCTGCCTGGTTTGGTTCCAATGCCCATCAAAAACTGAATTTTTTTTTTTAACTACAGACTTGTTCATCCGACATAACTTTAATAACACTAGACGTGTGAAGTTCTATTTGTCCCTTTGTCAATTTGTCACACCTGTTTTTATAAACGTTACTGATGCCACATGTATATAAAGAAGTTACTAGGAATAACCACTTGTGAGAATTAAAAGCAGTAATGATACATTTTTGACATAGAAAGGGAATGGAACAAAATTCTGATGTTACACATTACTGAAAAGTTAATAAACATACCTTAATCCCTTTCACAGATAAGACCTCTTCAAAATCTGCCAATATCTGAGTACCAAGTTCACTTTGTATTTTTTTCACCCTAACATTTAAGAGTTACACAATTAGAAAGATCACAAAAGGTCCACAAACCCATTATTTGCCATGGGAGTTTAATGCATTGGTACTACAATTGAGTATGCATTGACAGATATGTTGTAACCCTAAGCAAATGTCTGGTCAAAATAATACAGTATTTTTTCCTGTCTGATTCAACATTATTCTTTTGTTTCATTACCAAATTACCTTGGTCCCTAAACAAAGAAAAATAATGTTATATGAAACTATTTTGCGATCAATTCAGCCTGGAAACACTTTAAACTAAAACACATAACATGTAACAGTAAGTTTGAATTTAATTCAGGTCAAAATAATTTCATACTACAGCATTTCCTTTGTTTAAGGATTATGATGATATACCTATTGCAACAGGGGAATCACATCAAAACAGTTTACATTAAAATAAATGATCTGAAATTCATACTATATTAGATAATAAGCTGAATTATAGATGCATTTTGAAGAGTTTTACTTAAGATTCATTATGAGGACAGATGCATATATGAGACCACCATTCACAACATTTTGTTTTTTCATAATATATTAAAAGTAAATTCTATATTGGGAAAATGCAATCTCTCAAGGTACTTGCAACCAACCATCTGTAGCAACGTTTTCTCTTTGTCTCTCACTTACTTGTCTGCCAGTTCCCGTATTTGTGCAATCCCAAAGTACTTTTTGAAATGTTCCAAAACATTGACAACTCCTTGTAACAGATTGGCTACCTCTCCATACTGTCTCTTTCTGGTCAAAGTCCTAGGATATAAAAAACTACTATAAACTTCCTTTTCCAACTTAATAATGTCACATGGACCTTACAGTATACATCATCCAAACTAAACAAGGTAGTAGATTTTCTGAAGTTATAAAGGCTTTCCTGCACGAGCCTTGTTTCCATGCTGAACTCCATACATCAGAATTTTTAACCCACATAAATCTTGGCGTGGTAAGTTGCTGAATTTCCACCTTAACCCTTAAACTCCCATGAGTGACCAAGACAGAATTTCTCCTTTCAAGAACTATACAATATCAAGCAGACAAACAGTAAGAACTAAAAAAAATATCAATAAGGGGAGTACCAGTTGATCCAATAATAAATTCTCTGAAGAAACATCATAACAATTATATAGTAGACAGCAGTACAAATTTCTAAAGGGTTTGGTTTTTATTTCATTAATGTCCTGCTGAACATTTCTTTACAAGTAACCTTCTCCCTAAAATAGATGTAAATTCTCTCTTGACCTGCTGACACAGACACAGGAAGCTGTATGCAGAACTGAAAGTGTTAAATTTTTGCAGCATTTTATTTTTGGGATTGAGGACAATCTGTTAAATCTGGAAAACTGGAGATGATACAAAGTATTCCAGGAGGAACCAACCAGCTACTGACAAATTATATCCTGTGTAAGTTTGATCAAATCAATTAACTTACACAAGAGAGTCAACTCCACCAACAAGCATATGGAGGTGATTAAGAGTAGTAATGGAGCTTGTCAAATGTCGCTTTGCATGGTCCAGCTGCTTGATATCTCTTGTGATTTCTTTCACCTAAAAAACAGTCATTTTATGGCAAAGTTGTAGCTATGTACATTTTTAACGTATCATCAATGATAGCATTCAAGGATAGGAACATGAACACAAAGACAATGAAATACAAATTTATAATCATGCCAAGTTTGGTTTTTGCTTTAGTTAAACGACATTGACACACCGAGCAAAACAACCTTTTATGCAGTTTCAATTTTTAGATAGCCTTCTAGTAACTTGATAGAAATTAAATTTTAAATGTATTGTTAGTTTTAATACAATGTAATCGTATTTGTATTTTGATACAAGGCTCCTATGAATACCAGTCTTTGAGCTGAATGGGCTACCCTGTCTAAATAAAGTTTTACTTGCTTACTAACTTGGAAATTTAGGTTGTGATAGATACAACAAAGGATAAGATACCATACTAACAAAATTAACATCAGTCTCTCTTCTTTTGATTCTTTAATAAGACTCTTGTACAATTAAATAGTAAAACACCAACATAGAGTAAATACTGCAGCTGTTCTTCAACAGAACAACCAATTCTCCTAAGTTTTTTACTCTACACTTGTTACACGTATTTGTCTCTAACTGAACCAAATAGTACTCACACAAGAATACAATACAAAGACTTGGCTGGCAAAGTGGAAATCACTCCATCTGGCACTACAATGTATAATATGATATGCAGGGGTGGAGGGGGAGGTGGAGGAAGATAATGATCAGCTCACCATTTGTTCTGATTTATCAGCTTTTTCTTTGATGTCGATTATTTTTGCAAACAACTGTTGAATTGCTTGTTGAGCTTCATCAAGTGCCTGGTATAAGAAAAAAAATATCCTGTCAAAGGTTGCTGAACAAGTAATTAAGGGGCGTGAGTTATGTCATGCAATTACAAATGTGGTTGGCATTTTGAACGGCTTCGGTGACTGATATGCATAATTCGAGTAAATTGGCAGCTTTATTGTCAAAAAGAGGACTCCAAATCCAAGCAAGTAAAAAGTTGAAAAATTTGTGGAGCGGCTTCAATTCATCTTCGAATACCTTATTGTTACTTTATTTTCACAGGACTTAATTTTTGCAGTTGTCAAAATCATGACATTAAAGACCCAAGTAAAAGGTTTTCGCCAAAAAAAATAATCATACAAAGTTTGCTCCCTGCTGTTTGATTCTTTAACCAATGTCAATATCAGTTTATTACATCATAATCTTGTCCGCATCTTTTTTAAATTTCAATTTCAGCTTCTAAATCCTTCCTCTACATCAAACTCAACATCTTGCTGCAGTTCTTGTAAGATACACCATGCCTAGTTTTCAAACAATCCTTTCCTATCAGTATAATAATAATGATACGGTTTTGTTCACTGTCATTGGAAATTATTGTTATGGAAAATTCATATCCATTGTGGTCATTTTGAGACTACCTGTCTGTTAATGCAGATCAGTGTTTTGACAATTTTCACACAATTTAGTTCCTTTTAAGACACATTCGTAGCCAAATTGCAAATATAAATTGCCACAAAACATGTTCATTCCATTTTTGCCAAGTTAAGTTCCCACAAAAATATGTAACAGTAAAGGACACATATTAATTTGTGGAAATCACTCAGCTGTAAGCAAATTGTGTTCTCTAATAATTATCATATGCAAGGACAAAACATTCTGAACTACTCTGACGATCTTCCACATGTAATTTTGATGAAGTCAACTAAATGACTTTATGCCACCAATCACGTGGCATAATTGATGATCATTTCGCTTTCTTTCGCATTTATACCTTTTAAAGGATGGTTGATTTACACAGCATCAGTAGCATAAAGAACTTAGTGTACTCTTTTGATAATACACAGCTTTACTTAGTGATACCTCACTCTCATCTGTGATAAGAGACCTTAAGCAAATCAACGACAACAGCACCAAGGATGTGGCAAAAGAAAAGATCTAGCGAGCACAACAATAGCTTAGCATTTGCATTTAAAAACTTTTTATATTTACCAGCTGTCCTCAACAAAACAATTATAATACAAAATTTGCACTGTCTGAGAACGGAAGCCCCAAACTGCAAATTATTTAAAATTCCATTTTGAAAAAAAGAGGTGTAGTGTTGTATGAGACAGCAATATATGTCTAGCCATTTGCAAAATTCTAACTTCATGTAAAAATATAAATTCATCTCCTTGATCAACATCTTCCTTGATGTTGCTCTCCCAGCTGCTTAAAGTCCCTATTATCTACATGGAATATCCATAAGGTAAAAAAAAAAAGCTCTTCCATAGCAAGCCAAAGGCAAATTATTCACAAACTGTTTTGCATAACCTCCCAGCCTCTCAGGTGTGTAACAAAAGAGATACATAACTACAAAGATTCTCTTCCTTTAACTCTCTCTTTGAGATCAAGTCCTTCATTCTCATGAGCCTAATGTTTGGTTCAGATGTGAGCCCTCAGTGAAAAATTAGACCCTAGTCACTTTCTTACCATGTAACACCTTCAAGGGTTGGTAAATTTACAAAATATGGCACCGCTCAAAAGTACGAGGAAGGTGCTCTAAATTCAATCCTTTATTTTCAATATTTGGTTCTGAAGAGCTTGGAGGATGAAGGCTAAGTCTAGTTTTGAGGCATTAAAAAACATTTGAGAAATTGTTAAGCGAATTCAGAGAAACTTTCAAGTCAATAAGCAACTTTGAATTGACTGGTACATATACCATTTACCAACACAATTCAAACCAATCAGATCACATAAGGAATCTTGGTTGATTAATATCATCTGTGGATCTAAATATTACTGTTTCTTACTTGTCTTCCTTCATGGCCAATGTTAGTCTGTCCTCGGACAACTGTTCTAATTTCTTCATCAAGACCCCTGATAATCACAAAGTTGTATTCATAAACTTACCAATTACAGAAGACAAAATCATTACATTAACTCTCTATACACAAGAACATTGTGAATAGCATTAGCATTCCAAGTTGCAACAAGTTTGGTTGACCCCTTCACAAGGAGAAACAAACTGTGGCCGCCAAATTTCCGATGCAAGTCACCAATTTTGCAACTTGTGACTGGCAGCTATGTAGAAATTCACTCATTCATGGGAGTGAAAGGGTTAGATGGTATGTATCTTATTGAATCCAAACCAATCAACAACCCACATCAATGAATAAAATTTCAGAGTCGTGTTCCTTAAACCAAACCAAATCCACAACAATACAAAATATAAGAAAGTTTGTGCAGCATTTGCAAATAATAAACATTAAAAAGTACCCTGAGCTTTTCATGTGGCCCTACCTGATTCTTAGTCTCATCTTATTAACAACATCATCTATATTGGCAAGGGACTAGAATGAAAAATAAAATTAATACTACACAAAACTTGATTAACACTACATGTATACCCTTTTTCAGAAACAAATTTTGAGGACATTTCTAGCACTTCCAAGAATCCAAATTTCACCTTAAACCCTTTCATTGCCAAGATTTTGAAATAAATTCTCCAAACAGTCTACATACATTTCATGTGATGTAAATTCTGAAAACATAATCGCTTGATTAATGCAGATTTCCAGGACTTTCCAAAACCCTTTGTCTTTTTCCAGGACTTTCCAGATTTACCTGGACCTTTATGAACTGTAAAGAATTATCACTATTAAAGAAACTACACTGAACATCTATCTAGGATGTTAAAGACAGCAATAACAAACCTGTTCAGTTGGAAAAATTGAGTTTATATAATCGACTGGGTTAAAATCTTTACTGTCAAGGGGATCATCACTCTTAAACACCTAACCAAAAAGAGACAGAAAATCTAAGTAATAATGGTAATTGAACTGAGTGGAGTGCAATTTGGGCTGAAATCATATGTGTGATTTGAAAATTGAACGAGCATGCAGCGCGAGTTTGATTTGAAATCACAAGTATGATTTCAGACCAAAATTGCACGACACGAGGTTCAATTACCACTTTATTACATCCATTTTGAAATCGCCCAAATACAGGACTTGGTTAGTTCAAATATTTTATTGATGCAGTACTAAGCTGGTTTGAAATTAAATTCATTCATTTTTTGGGGGGAAAAAAATAAGAGTTTGGAAACAATAAATGCAAAATTTGCCACATGATACTTGTTGTTTTTCATTTTCCTGCAATTTGATTGATTACTTTAAACAAGTCTTGAAATCTGATTGATTGTTTTGTTTTTAGTGTGGCCTCCTCATTGGCTGGGAAAAAGATGCAATTTAAAGCAAAAAATGGTGCGATTCACGAATCAATCGCACCAATTAGAGCCAATCAGATTACAGGGGCCACCAGTGATTTCAAAATGGGTGTAATAAAGACTGTTATCATTTTCATATATTCATACAAAAAATGTCCACTGCTTCACTCCCATTATCAGCATCATTTTTATTATTATCATTATTATTATTATTATTATTATTATTATTATCAATAGTATTAACAATTGGTTTATACATCAGTATAAGTTTATGGGGATATAAAGCATGCAGAACATTTTGAGAGCATGAGTGGAGTGAAAGAGTTGCTTGAGGTGCAGGAAGTAGACTGTTACACAGGTAAACCAATAAAAATTATGGTATATTGCTTTTATAAAGAAAAATTCGATTCTTAATGAGTTTCCCATTGTAAAAAATGATAAGTTTTTGACCAAAGGCCTAGACACTTGTTGTATCTTACTTATTTCATAACACCTCAAAATACTTTTCAAGAAATAATGGCAATAGGACCAAGTGGAGTCTAATTCAGTCTGTAATCATACCAGTGATTACAAATTGGATGAAGTGAAGTCCAGTTACCAAGTAATCATAACCAGTAAAATTTTAAAAAAAAAACACATTTATTTAAGAAAATATCTCCAGTAAAGCCATGATCTAAAATAAGAAATTCCTCAATTTTCTAAATTCCCTGTTCTTTTAGGATAGGTGATTGTTGCTATGGTTCTTGCTATCAATTTTGTGATTGGTGGATTTGACTAAATGGACTTGGTATGATTGGCTGCCTTTATTGTCCGATCACAGGTGTCCAATTACAGCCAACTGTCAGATCACATTGTCCAATTACAAATCTACAGAATAATTAATGAAAAATAAAGCGCTTATGCACCAATAACATTTGGGAAAATTGTAATATCGATCTTCCAGAAAAAAATTTACACCTTTCATGTCCAAATGCAAATGCTAACTGTGTACCGCCCATTTTGATAAATGTTTCATGTTTCATACCAAAACACTTATTGACAAAATCTTTGTTTTATATTCTTTGTTAAGTCTATAGTCCCTAGCTTGCAGTTCATGACAAAAACTGATTATGCATGTAAAAAATTGAAGAGCTAGCTCATGTAAAACAGCATTTATTGTGTAACTTGGTAGCTTCTCAACCCTTTAATACACAAGATCTGTTTGTTAATTCCCCCTCTTGTTCCTGAAGGTTTCCTTTAAAATTAGTAATGAGAATTTGGTGTGAGGTCAAGATAACAAACTTCTACCTGATAATTTTGTGTATTCTCATAACCTGTTTGCTGGATAATGTATGGATACCATGGGGAGAAGATACATGCTGATCACTTCTGAGAGTTAAAGGGCAAGAGCACTTTTAAGTAAATTATTTTTGAAACAAACAAGTAAACTCAAGCAAGATGTCTGTAAAAGGAAACAAGCTGGGGTACAATCTTCCTGAAAATTCACCATAATTTCATTAGCGAGTCACCCTGGTCTGCAAATGTTCTGCATTTTTTTTTAAATAAATATATATTGATTTACAGCCAGATTTTGTCCTGACTATAATGAGATTTTCATCGAAAAGACTCTCTGCTTAAAATACCAAATTTCATTTGATGAAAGGACTTGCAAATAGGAAACCTTCCAATGTAAATATGGCTCAGTTAATCCTATTCCTTGATAGAAATTCCCTCTATACGTACACTTGCCACGTCTTTAAAATAGTAATTTCAGGTATTACAATAAGGAAGTCTGCACTCAAGATATGGGTGTACCTGACTTAAATACCCCTAATTACAACAGAAATACCTGCGAAATAGCTTCTTCCACTTCGGGTGAGTAAGTGATGGGTTTCGACAGCCTTTCTTCGAGAAAATCCTCTTCGAGCTCCCCTGGCGAAGAAGCGCTGACCTCGGCCGCCATTTTAGACGGAAATCGTCGTTAACGGCGGAAGCCGCTGAACTGTCAACACTTGGCTCGGTTACAAAGGCTTTGGCATTCGTTGTGTACTATCGCAAAACGCTTTGTCCCCGCAACAACAGAGCGTTCTCCTTGTCAGTCCTGGATGTTGTCAAGCAAGTAATGTAGAAGGTAGGTCCAGATCATCTAGCTTCGTTTGCCTTGTGGTAGATAAGCTAGATGGCAATCCAACGCCTTTTTGCGTTACCTAATTGTTGAGATCTTCCGATTTTCGAAATGCGACATGTCACCAGGGAATGTCTGGTTGAAAACACTTTAGCAATGTTTTTTTTGGCGCACATGTGGATTATTTCCTGGTTCCCTAAGCTAGGATTTGCGTCTCCAAAGGGTTTTGGCACACAAGCATGCCATCACCTCTACGTCTCCAAAAATTACTTTTCCTCTGCCCGTCTAGAGTGTCTACAATTGATGTTCGTGTGGAGTTTTTGAATCCAGACATGCTTCGTCTGGGCCGGTGTCATTTATGCACTTTGTTTTTTTATTACTATTTTTATCCTTGCTATTTTGTAAACCGTCCTCCTGAATGTTGTAAACAGAAATTCAACTTTTTCCTTAAGCTGAGAGCAGCAGAAATTCCCAATTCATTACACATGGGAATTTGTGTTCGAAGACATTATTCACACGAATAAGACAATTCATTAGCAAGGACACAATATATGAATAAATTTCTCAGACGCTAAAATTATACATGCATTGGCCATCCATGAGTGCTTTGTACTCACAAAGGCCGTTAACACGAGACGAACCGTCTCCGAAAAAGTTGATAGCAATAATTCCTTTTAATAAAACAGGAAATTTATTGTTACATTGGACACAAGGTGAATTCGCCATCTTGTGGCTGTTATCAATTTCGTGTAGACATGTCTTTGTCTCTTCTTTTGCCTTCAATGCATAGGTCGGCGCTCGTGGGCAATAAAGTTCTGGGTCAGTGCCATTCGCGTCGAAGTTCTTAGCTCCTAATATTGCACTGCACATGTAAAACTGAGCTTTAACGGTTTTCTTTCACCTTTTTTCAATTTTATTATTTATTTATGTGTTTGTTTTTTTTTATTTGAAGTAAGACCATTTATGAATTCTCTGTACGTGTAACGCGGATGGCTGCTAAGGCGGAATGTCTAAAGTCCGAATCATCCTATGTTTTCTCTCAAGGTTTTATTGTCCTAATTCTTGCCTTCTTGTCCCCAACTTGTGACCAAACATGAGGTGGTGTTCCAAAAAAGGTTCACGCTACTGATTTCCTTCTAAAAAACAGCAATGTTGCTGTCGTATTGATTTCAGACATACAGTGATTTAGCCATCTTGTGGTTGTTCTCAATTACATGTATGTCTTTGTCTGCCTCTTCCTTTGACTTCAATGCTTTTCTTGTCACTTTTGCCCGATGAACTTCTGGGTCCTTGTTATTAGTATTGAAGTTCTCAATTTTGAAAACTGCATTGCACATATGAAACTTAGTATTGGCCATTTTCTTTGAAATTTTCACTATTTTTGTATATTTGATATGTATTTATGTATATATTTGAAATAAGATCTTCTACGCATTCTCTGTACGTGTAACTCGCATGGCTGTGAAAAGGGGTTGTCTAAGGTTCGAATTGTCTCGGTGAGCTCAATTTTTTTTATATTTACTTACCACCTTGTGACTTGTCACAAAGCAAACAGTATCAAAACAAGTTTTTCTCACTGATTTCCTTTTGAAAAAACAGTGATTTTGTCGTTATATTGATTTTAGACTTACAGAGATCTAGCAATCTTGTAGTTATTATCAATTGCGTGTTCCATGTCTTTGTCTGTCTCCTTTCGCCTGCCATGCTTTAAATTTGACATGTGTGCTAGAAAGGCAAAACTCAAAATCAACTATTTTTGTTCAACTTTCCTTTTTGTTGTCATCTTTTTGTGTTTATTTGTATGTTCGAAATGAGACCATCTTTGAATTCTCTGTACATTTAACTCGGTAGACTGCAAATGCGGAATGCCCATGATTTGAGTTGTTGTGGTGGTTTCTCAATTTATATTCTGCATCCAACCGCGTAGTGACTAAACATTAGGCAAATTGTCTTCGGATAAGTTTATGAAACTGATTTTTCTTCAGGAAAGAGTAAATTTCTTGTTATATTGGTTCTAGACATACAGTGATTTGGCCATCTTGTGGTTCTTATCAATAACATATATATGTCTTTGTCTGGTCTTGTTTTGAATGCAATGCCCTACTTGCGTCTAAAATACAGCAAAGTTTTGGGGCGCTGTTATGAACCTTGAAGTTTCTTATTTTAAAAACTGCTTCATACATGTTAAATGTAAGACTAACTGTTTCCTCCCAACTTTTCATCACTATCATATACCACTATTTAATATGTATTTATGTATATATTTGAAATAAGATCATCTACGCATTTTATACATATATAACCAGGATGGCTGTAAAACCAGTTTACCCAAGGTTTGAATTGCCATGGTGAGTTCAATTTTTTTATATTATATTTTTCCACCATCTTGTGACTAAACACAAAGTAAACACTCCCTAGAATAGTTTAATTTGTCACAGACTTTTAAAAAAAAAAAAAAAACAGCGATTTTGCCATTATATTGATTTAAGACCCACAGGGATTAAGCCATCCTGTCGTTATTATCAATAGCGTGTATGCGCCTTTGTTAGTCTCTTCGTGCGCCCACCATGCTTTAGGTATATTTTTCAGTTGTGGGCGACAAAGTTAAAACTTGAACTAAACCAACATGTTGTAACTTTTTCATTTTTTATGAACTATTTATGTGTTCATTTAGTAATTCCAAGAAGATCATATATGAATTCTCTGTACATTTATCTTGGTTGATTGTGAATGCGGAATGTCCAAGATTATTATTATAGCTGTCATGGTAATTTGTCAAATTTTTTTTCTATTTGTCTGCTACCTTGTGCCTAAACATAAGGCAAATTGTCCTAAGAAGGACTTAGGGAACTGATTTTTCTTTAGGAAAGAGAGATTTTGTAGTTATATTGGTTCTAGACATGCAAGGATGTGGCCATCTTGTGGTTGTTACACGATAGTGAATATGTGTCTTTGTCTGTGTCATCTTTTGATTGCAATGCTTTATATGCCGCTTGTGCATAACAAAGTTGAGGGTGGTGTCTACATATGTATAACATCGAATTCTTCATCACGAAAAGCACATAGCTCATGAAGAACTTAAAATCAACCATTTCCCTCACTGTAAGATAAGGCGCATATTTTTTTTTATTTAATGTAAGATCATGTGTTAGGTTTTTTCAATTGTTGCCGGGGTGACATGAAATAGAAATGTTGCTGGTTTTTATTCTGGCAGGGGACTCAGATATTATCCAATATTTGATTCAAAATTGTAACTTGTGTTAAACGTATTTCTTTGAAAACTACAAAATTTGCATATTATTTAATCACAGGGGTACTTATTGTGTTCCTCAGTCTTCAAAGACTGTGCGCCAACAAGGTGGCACCCTGTTTCCTATTTATGGTCATCTCCATTATGTATCTTGACATCTTTTAACTGGTGCTTTAGTTGGCCCCCTGTTTTGTGTTTCCCAGATGATGTACGTGTAAGAAGTATCTTAAAGGAAAACTTTAATGGGTTAATGAATAAAAAATGAAATAAATTATTCAGGTTTTGAATGTTTTTGTTTTTTTTCCTTATCTGTGTCTGAATAAGGAGCATGTGTGAAGGGTGCAGTTTATTTAAAACAAATGTTTTTCCTTTGATGCTTTATATTTGGTCTGTGCGCTTCCAAGGCAAAACTTGAAATTGACCATTTTGGTTCAACTTTCGTTCTTATTATCCTCATTTTATATGTGTTGATTAAAGTGTTTGAAACAAGATCATTCGTGAATTCTTTGTACAGTACAATAACTTTTGAGTTTTGGTGGTAGTTTGTCAGTTTATATTCTGTGTACAACAGCCTTGTGACTTAATATGAGGCAAATTGTCCTCAGATGAGTTTATGAAACTGATCTCCTTTTAGAGAAGAGTAAGTTTCTTGTTATATTGGTTCCAGACACACAGTGATTTGGCCATCTTGTGGTTGTTACGCAGTAGTATATATATGTCTTTGTCTGGTCTTGCTTTGAATGCAATGATCTATTTGCAGCTACATGTACTATGCTGGAATATTCTGGGGTGGTGTTTGGAACCTTGAAGTTTGTAATTTGAAAATTACTTTGCACATGTTAAAGATGGGATTAACTGTAGTTTCCTTTCAACTTTTTCATCATTATTGTAGTTTATACTGGTATTAAATATGTATTTATGTACATATTGAAGTAAGATCATGTGTGCCTTCTTTGTATATGTAACAAGGATGGCTGTAAAACCAGTTTGTCGTTTGTCGTTGGAATTGCCATGGTGAGTTCAATTCTTGGTGTTCAATTCGCCACTACATCTAGACTAGACACAAAACAGTCCCCAAAATTGTTTAGGTTGCTGATTTTGCTATTATATTGATTCAATTAAGACCCACAAGAATTAAGCCATCCTGTTGTTATTATCAATTGCATGGGTAATTGTGAAGAAGAGCTCCCCAAAAAACCTGTCGGCTGACAGTCGGCCGACAGGTTTTTTGGGGAGCTCTTCTTCACAATTACCCACATTGATGTGGCCATCTTGTGGTTGTTGATTGTTATGTAATAGCTTTTATGTCTCTATCTGTGTCTACTTTTGATTGGCATGCTCTTTATGCTGCTTCTACAAAACAAAGTCCTAGGGCAGTGTCTTAAATATCGAGTTCATAGTCACGAAAAGTGCATAGCTCATGAAGAACATAAAATCAACCATTTTTTTTCACCATTTTCAATATTATGCACTTATTTTTGATTTATTCTAAGATTATTTGTGAATTTTTTGTATTTGTAGATCAGGTTACTTGAAGTCGGAATGTTGGCAGTTTGAGTGGTCACAGGAGACTCAGATATTATCCAATATTTGTCTCCAACTCGTGACTTTTGTTTAACATCTTTCTTTGAAAACT